ATTAAGATTTCATTATCTATTGTCAATTCCGTACCTCCGTACATGACGCAGGTTTAAATGCCAAAGTAGGCCGTCAACTGTAAAAGTCACGCTTCTCGCAAAAGTCCAATAGCAAACATTCTAGTCTTAATCTGTTTTATAATCTGTTTCATATTTCGATATTTTACTTATAATAGACGTTTGTGAAACTAACAAACGGGATGGCTTCAAAATTGGCTTTTCCATCGCCAACTTCTTACATGTATTTATATAGTAATATTCCACTATCGCCAGCATATGGTGTTTATGTCTCTCAACTTATTCGGTACGCTAGAGAATGGTCTGATTACAATCAACATTAAAATCAGAGACAAGATAATGAAAAATAAGTTGATGTTACAGGGCTTTCAACTCCTCAATCAAAGTAAGTCTATCTAAAATTCCTGCTTCATTGTTATCACCTTGTTAGTAAATACATTTGCAATTTTAGAATATTGATAACTTCAACAAATTTACAAAAAAAATCCTTAAAGGCAACAACTTTTCTAAATACAGAATATCATATACATTCAATAGTATGGTGCCATTAAAGCCCAGAAAAGAATTACAATTGTTCGGACTAATTAGACTTTTTCTTGACAAGAAAAGAATAGTTCTGACTATTTAGTTCTTTATTCAGTCAAAGAAAACATTTGTGTGGATAAATGCATTCTTTCTTGGTACGAATTATGTATACTCGTAGTCTAGAACAAAGTAGATTAATTGTTTTTGTTCGGAATTGTTCGGACGAACTGGATATTTAATCACTTGTATAATTAAGCGAATTACATTACATATTTGTTCGAACAGATTTGATTTTTCTTCTTTGGACAAGACTTTTCTCTGATAAAGGAGAGCATAAAAAAATCAAAGATGGTACATGTATAAAACATGAATCAAGTGCACGTTGATTTAAGGAATAACTGTCTAATTTTTTGGTTTCATGATGTGATCAATCGATTGGCTTGTGTGATAATTTGCATAAACGCCGAAGGCGTTTATGCATAAAATTATCACGCAAGGCAATCGATTGATCATCTTCATGAAACCAAAAAATCTGACAGTTATTCCTTATATTTACATGCTCTTGATTCTGAAAATTCAGGTGCTACAAGCCCCGCTTCTGTCTCTATTTGTCCCGCCCCGCATGTGATTTTTTTTCGCCTCGCCTATCGATGAACCAGTAGATTTATGTAGAAATAAAGTATTTTTACTATTTGAAGCTTTATCTCGGACAAAGGCATTGGAAATGTTAATATTTCGATATATGGAGTTTATTTACTCCAATCCTTTGCAGTTTAGGATATAATTGCTTGCATCTCAATATTTTTGTGTGCTATATACACTGGCTGGTTTATAAATGCTTGTTCTTTCGGTTTTCACAAAAACGTACGGAAGTCTTTAAAACATTACGTAATTTTTCGCATGAAAATTGTAAGTCACTTTTGCTAAAAGTCCCAAAATTACATGTATGTACACTGTTTAAAAGATTGACTTAAAAAACAGGCACTTTGACGCAACTGGTAGATAGACATTATTAACAATTCTCTTTCTCTAGTCGCCGGCGTGGTGCAGTGGTTAGAGCGTTTGCTCTAGGTTTGTGACGTAAGGAGTTGATCCTTTTGCCATGGGTTCAAATCTACTGTGCGACCGGACTTGTGGACATGTGGAGACCGGTGCTTCGGATGAGACCGTATAAACTGAGGTCCAATGTCGCAGTATGTACTGACACAAAAAAAGATCCCTCATTGCTCAAAAGTCGTAAGTGTCGAGTACAGGTCTTTTGCAGCCCTCCACAGGCAAGTGGCGTCGTCTCAATATGAGTGAAAAATTCTAGAAAGGGACGTTAAACTAACAAAAATAAATCTCTCTCTCCCTCTCTCTCCCTCTCTGTGGAATATAAGCGAAAAATAAAAAAGAAATCTTCTTTAAATCAATTAGTCGAATCAATATGGAAGAATTTTAACATAATTGATTGAAGTCGATAAATGTTTTTCAATATATCATAAAAGACACTTGAAGGATATAATAAGAACAACAGATCATCACTGTATCCTCACTTTACCTTCGTGAGCATTTTGATCCACAGGCCTCTTGATTTATAATTCTAAATTTTTTAAACTAATAGAAAATAAATTTCTAATAAAATCTACAAGGGGTCATTATTCTACGGGGGTCATTTTTCTTCACGTAGGATATGCATATTTAATGGGTGATGCAACTTTTTCTACAGGTAAAAGGGTCATTTTTCGACGTCGAATAATGACCGGGGGTCATCAACGACGAAAAATGACCCCCGGTCATTATTCAATGGGGTCATTATTCGTCTTTACATCGGATCTATTGGTCTATTGTTTTTTGTGATTTGTGATTAAAAAAGTTGATAAAATCATTAAAATAAAAATTGTAAAAACATATTTAAAAAAGATATTGCATTTGTTATTACCGACTCCGTTTTCATTTTAAGAAATACGAATTTGTTTCAGATTTACATTGTCAACGATGTCAGTACAATACATGCTCATAAAATTACCTGATATGCGAATTATACAATGTCATACTCCTACAAGTAAGAGCCTCGGTAAACCTCCCTACGCTCCTTATATAATACATGTCCAAGAACGAATTCGATGTTGATATCGACTATCGACAATATCATATCGATATCGATCCAAATCAGTACTATGGAATTGGAATTACTAGATACCATATGTAAAGACTGAGTGCAATGTCGATATCGTCGATATCGACAATATTATGACAATATCGTATCGAAATCGATCCTGATCTGTAAAATTTCTTTTCAAGTTAATGTATAACATAATTATATAAGACCAAAAGCGATGTCGGTATTGATTCATTTTTAACATTGATATGTAAATTAATAGAGCATTAGGGCTTGTTATTGCCAGGTGCTAAGGTTAGGGTAAGGTTTTAGGTTAAGCTCAGGGTGGAGGTTGTTAAAAACATATCTTTAACAATCATGATTCGATATCGATACGATATTGACGATATCGACAGCAGGGCAAACTTAGTACTCAGAAAGTACACACGCACAAGTCTTGCATAAAGAAAAACAACCAGAAGTGCGATGCCAAGAATGAGTCGATATCGAAACGATATCGTCGATATCGACAATATCGATTTATTTACAATCTTCGTCAATGTAAAGTATTTCACCATAGACACACATTTACCACGACAAGGACGGTACCAACCAAGGGTTGAGCTAATATGTTTTGATATCGAAGCGATATTGTCGATATCGACACTATAAGGAAAACTTCAAAGGGATAGTATTCAAGTAACTCACATATTAAAAAGCAACAGGTTTTTTTTTTGGGGGGGGGGGACATAATTCATTGAGCAATTATGATTCGATATCGATACGATATCGTGACTGAAAACAGAAAGTATTCTAATATCATAAGTATGAAGAAATAAAGAAGCAATCTATAAAATAAGTATTCCGTCGATATCGTAACTACATCATGTCTTGGACATAACTCCCTTACATAACTCGGACTCTTACATCCGAAGGTCATTTTCTAACGAGCTCGTTCCGCCTGAGATTTTGGATGGAACATATTATGCGTGAAATAAACTGTAAATAAGTAATTTCCAGGTACCTACGTGTTTGCATGGGGTATAAAAGTCACAAGAAATCTTAAAATCTACTTTATGTATGCATCGTTGGCGTTAATCAAAGTCGCTATTATTTCAATTTGTCACCAGAACTTTCGATTTGACTTTAAGTTAATTTTGCGGATTGCTAGTCAGAAACTTCAGTTATTTCATAGCGGAAAACTAGTTTTGTTTCGTTAGATTTTCTGCATTCCATTCCTGAATTTCAAACAGACGACTTGTTTTAATATCTGCTTCGATTTTAAAAATAATGGATTTATCGCTAATGCGAGAGATTAACATTGTTTTATGTGTAAGTTTTATCGCAAATAGTGAATATTTTATTGTTTCGTGTCATTCATTAATGTTTAAAGCCTGAATTTTTAAATAAACAATGTAAACAATTTATTTCCACTTGGGGTTTCAGCGGCGAGAATAATTTTTACAATGGATGCTAGAGGTTACGCGGCGCTAAGTCAAAAGTATCTCTCCGTGAACCTCTAGCATGCTGGAGTATACAATGTCATATCTCAGATTTTTCTAAAATTCATCGGCCTTACTGGCAAAAAGGAAATTCAAAATATTTGAAGAGTGCAAATCCGACCGACACAATCTAGGGAAAAAACCCAGAAAACGCCAATTTAATGGTTTGGGTTAGGGCGTAGACTTGAATCACTTAATTATAACGCGTGAAATATTCACGTATCAGGAGAAAACTTTTTTATCTACTCTGCTGTAGATGAGAAATCAATTAAAAAGTGGCGGTAAAGATCATGTTTTACTTGATGAAATCGTGAATTTCACCCCAGTAAACGACTGCTGGATAAGCTATGCTCCATTGCACATGGCACCTGTGAAACTTGTAAAAATTGTAACAAAGAGACATTTCTTTGGTCGACTTCTTGGTCGACGTAATAAAACTTCGTGCTTCACAGGATTTAATCACATTTGCATGATCAACCAGGTTCATTTTCCAGAGAACTTTTTAGCCTTGTTATTTATTTCTAAAATGTGCTCTGCATAAGGTTACGTGATTTGCAAATGACGTCATAATAAACTTACTGTAGAATTTCTTTGACTGCGCATTAGTTTACTTCCCATTAACTGTCGAGTGAACTTAATTTAAGGGGACCAACTGCGATTTTCATTGCGAAATACTTTGCGCAGCATAGAAAAATCAACCTTATTTATACCTTGAAAGCAACTGTTTTCACATAATTTGTCAAATTAAACAAAATTAAGAAACCACAAGAAAAAAAAAATTAGGCCTAGTTACAATTTAAAAAAGTAAATATTGTATAGTAAAGAAAAATAACTATGAAAAAAGTCATCTTTCCCTCTACAACAGTTCTTCTCACCTTCTGTGTTTGGTGATCTTTTGTAGTCTCCGGGCAATACGCCATTCTTGGTAGTCCCCAGGAGTTCACAATTATCCTCTCCTTTACCATTTCCATCAGCAATGTTATAATACTTGCCAGTTAGTGTTTTGCCCAGAAACAGCTTATACCTATAAACGTGTAAAATTACAACAACAACAAAAACAACAACAACAACAAAAAAAAAAAAAAAAGAAAAAAAAAAGGAATCGAAAATTTCTTTCGTATTCAACAATGCGATTAAAATATCTATCACTTCGTCATCGTAAATTTCTTCGAGACTTTAAAATACTAACATATTTTTTTCCTTTAAATATTTCTTACTTATATCTTTGCCTTGGTAAGATATGTCACTCGTCAGCTTTTAAGAAAAGTTTGGTCAAATTCTTTTATATCACCATTATTATATTATTGTATATTATGTTATTTATTGTTATATAATATTATATAATATAAGAAAATAAATTTCGATTTCATTTTTATATCATATTTGAATTATACAATGCAAATTTATATTATGTCATTTATTGTTATATAATATTACATAATAAAGGAAAATAAATTTCGATTTCATTTTATATCACATTTGAATTATACAATGCAAATTGTACAACATTCAGTTAAAAAATCCCTCTCAAAATCGGCAAGAAATAAGATTTATGTGGAACTTTTTCTTGTGGTGGAAGAATATCAAGTAGAAAATCCTCAAAATGTGCCGATTTGATTTGTTTAATATCTTGGAATTATGGGCCTACATATTTTCTCAGTTATTATATTGCTAGGATTGTTCAATGCATATTTCAAATAAGGTTTTTACAACAAATTTTACACATTTTTATTTCAACAAACTATGCCAAAAATTGCAGATATACTCAAAATATCAACATAACATAAACTTAGTTTTAAGCCTGAAATTTGCATATTTTCATCCATATCTTAAAATTTACACCACTGGTCCTTGCTTTGAATTTCATTTTCTGGAATTACGCGGTACTTTTTACAGCTCAGCATTTCGTTCATAAAAAGCTTGATCAAAGAAAATATCATAATGAGTGTTTAGATTTCTATTACCCAAAATATGATATTTCATAAGTGCAAAAAGGTCACACAATTACTAACGCGAGCTAATCTCAATCAATCCTTTATATAACAAGTGTCAGGAGTGACATACCTGAATTAATTATTACAACAATCAGATTATTGCAGTTATTCTCTTTCAAACTTCATTTTTATTCTTCCTTATATTCGAAATCCTTTGGAAACTCTTTGATTGTATACTAGAAGCAATATATTTTGCTTCAATATATCAGCATTATTATTATTATATTCTTTTTGCATTGGACTATAATTTTGAATAAAGGAAATAATGCTGTATTTTTCAAACTTTAGTTTTAGACAGAACGTTTGTATTTATTATTAAATGTCAAACGATAAAAAAGTTTAAACTTTATAATAAACATTTTAATCTTTTAAAAGATGTTTAATAAAAAAAATGCCAGCAGAGAGCTTTGTGAAGACGGTTTATTTATTCTACTCTAAAACTTATAATGTAATACAATTAGATTCAAAAATCCTAAATTTTTCCGCTCGAATTTTGACCGATAAAGCTAGGAGTTAAATTAAGCATTGGATTCTTATTTTATGATGTCATCGGTCCTATAACAGCACCTGCAGTGCCGTCAAATTATCATACCGCGCGTTATTTACATATTTCTCTAATTTCTCTCTTCATAATTTTTATTTACATATTTCTCTAATTTCTCTCTTCATAATTTTTAATTTCGTAAATCTTTTTTTTATGAATTTAACGCCTTTCAGAAACGATGTGCTTAATAGACGTTAGAGCCATTGTGACGTGGAAAATAAGCCGTGTAAAATTAAATAACGCAAATAAATATTCCGAGGAGAAAATGAAAAATTAATTACAAACGTACATTTGTTATATTTTTATGATAATTTAATAGCATAGTTGTTTTTAATTAAATTGAGTCCAAACAATACATATTGATGTTTTAGAGTATAGAAAATGCATATAGTTCCTAATGTGTATTCTACCGCGCAGTGACAAGGTTTCATGTGTGTTATAGGGTATTGAATGTTCCAGATTTCCAATGGATTTATAAAGAAAATTTCACTGAATGTAAATATAGGAAAATGATTACATTGTCAAGTTTTTGTCCTTTATTAGGAAGCAAATAGCGATTATTTGCAAGACAATTTCAAAGAATTCATTCTACCTTGAATCATATTAAAAAGCATGAGATGAAAATTGTTGACTGAATATTTTCAATTTCAAGCTTCGTATTCAAATAAATAATTTAAAAGTTATCCTTCTTGGATGAGATATGGAAATCTCTAAACAGGTAGAGAAAACTCTTTTTTCTGACGTCAAAATAAATGTAAATGACTAAATGAGTACCAATGTGAAGTACGAAATGACTAATCAGTTAAACGAATAGAATTGTATTATTGATTACTACAAGTGTACTCAATTTTATTACCACAACAAAAATTACTACATTGAACCCTATAGTTATTATAGTAAATACTTTGATATAAAACTTTACGCAAGAAGTTTTTCTGACATTTAGAGCCTTAATATCTTTTGAATTACATACCAATAATGAAAATTCGAAGAAATATAATCTTGCATTAATTACAGTTAAACTTCGTTATCTCTAAGTTGACGGGACCATTGATGAATTTCGAGATATCCGGGGGTTCGACATATCGAGGGTTATAATTCAAATGAACGTCAAATAAACTTAGTGCAGCGAACATGTACTTAATAGTAAAACATGTCAAATTCCAAATTCTGTATACAATTTCTAATATATACATGTACATGTATTTAGCAATAAAAAGATTTTTACATCCTCTTTATAATTCACAAAATAAAAACTTTATATAATATGCACAGAAGTATAATCCTTAGAACTACCAACGCGGCAAGTCAACCGCTAGCATCGCTTCCCATGTATACATAACCGGATATCGTCTTTGCATTGTAAATTTAAAACCGGTTGCTGTCAGAATAACGAAAACGAAATATACATTTTCTTTTATTGGAAAAACATGTTCATACATGTATAATCAGTTAAAAGAAAATTATTTTACCATAATAAGATCAAATGCAAAAGAAGAATCACGCACTTTTGTCTAACAACAGAACAACACTGAATCACAGGGCACTTTTGCACAAGTTTTCACTGCGACACACGCTCACATGATGGTGTGTACGGACGATTCATATAGGAAAAATAAATTCTAATTGCATTAAATTACAGAATTTTGTTTTACTTCGATGTTTATAATTTTCACTTTCGTATGCATTAACTATGTATGCGCGCATATTTCACAGCATTAAATAGCGATTATCAAGATAAACGTACCCAAGCCACAAAACAAATTAACATGTCATCCACGCGTATGCATTAGACTAATACACACAACCTTTGGCTTGCATAATTAAAATCAAGGTAAGCCATATATACACTTCGTATAATTATCGCGCTATTATCTGATCACAGGAACAAAGGTAACCCGAGCGTGACAGACAGGTGGTTGTTATCAATAGAGCATTCAGTTTACATAACGGATTTGATCATCAGAGCGGAAAACTTTCCTGATTTCGAGATAACGCATGTGATTTTAATGAATGGGTATATAATTTTACTTCGAGATAACCGGGGTATTCGACATTACCGTGTTCAACATAGAGGGGTTTATTTTAATCATTTATAAAGCAAATTTCGTCGGGACCACGGCCTTACTTCGACATATCCGGGGTATTCGAGATATCCGTGTTCGAGATTTCGAAGTTTAGCTGACAAAAAGGATCATTTTCTCACACTTTAACAAAATTGTACGATATGAGTGTGTCTTCGCTCCATTTTTTTGAAAGTTGATCCTAAAAGTTTGCATAAAAATATACATTTTTTTGGTTTACAAAAACATGGAGCAAAGACCCACTATACCTTAAAAGTACACTTTTATGACAAAGCATTCGCATCTTTCCGAGAAATACTTGAAGTCCTTAATTCAAGGGTCATATCACAAATATGATTTAAATGCCACTATTCGTCAGGAGCTGCTTGGCGTAGTGGTTAGCGTGTTAGTCTCGAAACAATATGATATTCCGGATTTTTATTGATAGGGGTCCGAATCCCACGAATACCATTGTTGCAGCCACTATTGAAATAACGTTCACTATTGAAATAATTATTTCAATAGTGGTTGAGAGTGCATTTCAAAACCAAACACAGGTTGTAACCACTATTGAAATAACGTTCACTATTGAAATAATTATTTCAATAGTGGTTGATAGTTAATTTCAAAACCAAACTTAGGTTGTTACCATTATTGAAATAACTTTAAATTGAAATACCGGTAATTATTTCAATAGTGGGTGAACGTGCATTTCAAAACCAAACATAGGTTTCAACCACTATTGAAATAACGTTCACTATTGAAACAATGATTTCAATAGTGATTGAAATAAAGATTTCAATTGTGATTGAAATAATGATTTCAATAGTTGCTGACAATGATTTCAATACCCAAACCACATTGCAAGCCTTATTGAAATAATCCTGCTCTTGAAAAAAAATATAAAGATAAATTCTTCATTATGTTTCCCAACATAATGAATTAATTTATTGAGTTTAAAATATGATATGTAATTTTAAGTTTTAATTTCTGTCTAGAAGTACTAATGATATACGGATATCTGTGATTTAAGTGATCTAGTAATTCTTACGTAATTTTGTTATTTAAGGTTCATCATTGCTATTAACTGCGGAAAGTTAAAGTTTATAAAAACAGAAAGTTTTAGAAATTAGAATATCTACACTTAAAAAAAGAAAGAAGAAATCTATGTGACATCTATGTGTACAAATTTTCTGATGAAAATATGGTTATTTTTAATCAATAGGATATAGAATAGAAGTAAATTCTCGCTTATATATACATTAAAATCAACTATTCGGGAAAACTAAGTATAAGCGTTATAACATAAGAGGTTGTTATTTCAATAGTGGTTACATGTATAAAACCGCTGTTAAAATAATATCAACTATTGAAATAATTATTTCAGTAGTGACCACTATTTCAATAGTGGGTACATGTACATTGTTGCAACCACTATTGAAATAGTGACTATTGAAAAAAAAATTTCAATAGTAGATATTATTTCAATATCGGTAGTATAAGTGCAACGCTATTGAAATAACGATCACTAAAGAAATAATGATTTCAACAGTAGTCATTATTTTAATAGCAGTTTTATATGTGTGATCACTGTTGAAATAACACCCACTATTGTAAAAAATGTAATGCTTATATTAATTTCCCTTTAAGTTTTGCTTTTTAATGTCTTGAGGAGTAGGCATTGGATTTACTATCCATATTTGTAGTGTAGGCAAGCCCATGAATATATGCGAGAATTTACCTCTATTGCATATTCTTTTTATCATAATAGCCATATTTTCATCAGAAAGTTTGTGCACATAGATGTCAGTCTTCTTCTTTTTAATGTAGATATTCTAAATTCTTCAATTAAAAATCAATTTAAAATCAGTGGCAAAGATGAACAATATTTACCAAAATTACTTAAAACTTGCATATATTGATTGATTGTCTGTTTGTTTTCGCCGAGTCGGCCAGATTCAGCGGAAGATTGCATATAACATTTGCATGCTTTGTTTGAATTTAAGGTACGTCAGTTAAACCAAAAATGTCCGTGTATTAATGGTAATTTATAGAAAAGAAAGGAATACATAAATTTATATATTAAACTCAATACATATAATATATTATGTTGGACAACGTAATGAACAATTTATCCTGGCTTATATTTTTTTTTTCAATAGTGGGGTTATTTCAGTAAGGCTTGCAATGTGGTTTTGGTACTGAAATCATTGCCAGCAACTATTAAAATAATTATTTCAATCATTACTGAAATCTTTATTTCAATCACTATTAAATCTTTATTTCAATCACTATTGAAATCTTTATTTCAATAGTGAACATTATTTCAATAGTGGATGCAGCCTGGTTTAGGTTTTGAAATGCATTCAAAACCTCTATTGAAATCATTGTTTCAATAGTGAACGTTATTTCAATAGTGGTTGCAATCTGTGTATGGTTTTGAAATGCACGTTCACCCACTATTGAAATAATTATTTCAATAGTGAACGTGGTTTCAATAGTGGTTACAACCTGTGTTTGATTTTGAAAGGCACTCTCAACCACTATTGAAATAATTATTTCAATAGTGAACGTTATTTCAATAGTGGTTGCAACATACCATTTTATTTTTTAATAAAAGAATAATTTTTTCCGCGATCTTTTTTCTCAGAAAAGTTTTGTTAATCATAATTTCATAAATTTCAATAATGAGAACTTTATTTTAAATACTTAATTCACAAATTGAATATGATTTTATTAACATCTGAAGATATAGGCATTCTGCACGCCTTGTTCACCCATCTTCTTTATAAGATGTGTCTAAATGATTTAGGATCTTCAAATTAAAGTACTGATAGATATTAATGATTTTCAGAAAAAATGCATAGTATTAATACCTTGTTGAACTACACGTCATCACACCAAGATAAGGGGCGGAAGAATAGTATGTTTTCTTTACGTATTGGGTTCCACCTTCACATCCATTCCAGCTATTGTCATACTCAAAACTATACAGCAACCAACAGTTGCTTGAATTTAAGCATCCTAGATGTAAAGATATATATATATTATATATAAATACAAGAAATGTGTTTCAAGTGTTTTAGAAGGACCATATCTCTATGACGAAATATCTTAAAAATTAATGATAATCCCTACTTATCTAACAATTTATTAAGTTAATACACACTTAAATGCAATGCAAATATGGCAAAAATACTGTAACAGTTGTTACTCAATTACCATAAGGGGGTCATGTTTATCTGAAACTATAAATTGCTTCTTTAATCTACTAACTCAAAGTAGTAGATGTAAGATGAATTATTAAACAATATTTCTTGAAATATATATCAAGTCCATTTATTTTATGACTCAAATATGCCTCAAAAGTATGAATATTTTACAAACCTTGAACCTGACGTTTTGAAACAATTGTTTGCAGTTTGTTGACCATAGAAGTGATATTTTGTAACTCTTCCCTGATCTTAAGTGTGGTTTCGCTGTAGTTTGCTATTATGCATTGTGCTTCAGTGAGTATTCTTTCATCCTCATTGTACAGGACATCCAGTCTAGTCTGAATCTTTTCCTGCTCAGATACTAAATCTCTCACTCTCTTTTCTGCAATTCAATATAGATGTAATGAAGAAACTAAAAAATTTCAAAGTTTTTATTCATCTTATTTAACTAAATTGAGACACTATTCTGTAGTTATCAATATTATCTATTTGTACTTTTAAGGTTTAGTATAGGCCTTGAAAACAAGAAGTCCTTAATTCACATAGCTCACATAAGTCATACTGCTATACTCTATCATAGATGACATGATTCTTTCCAAACGTCTGAATAAATTGAAAAAAATAAAAGGATAACTAGCAGCTGGTTGAATTATACCTACAATGATTGATGAATACTTTTTGGTAAATTAATGAAAATAGACATCCTTTGAATATTGGTTGTATTAAAGTGAGACGTTTGTGTTTTAACCTCATGTTAAAAAGATCCCAACACCTGATTATCATATAATATCAAACTGTTTATGTAACTTTTCTATTCCAATTTACACTTAACTTAAGATCTGTATCTCTTGCTGTTAAAGTGCTAGGTGGCAGAGGATAGTTTTTTGAATGTCAAACTTGTGCCGAGGGTGAAGGAATACACTTGAGGTAAAAAAAAAAAAAAAACAACAAAAAAGATAATTTGGGAGAGTTCTGGGGGCTAATGAATTCCCTCCACTTTATTTTCCAATAGCTCAAAAATAGTTCAATTATAGCATGTAATCCCTATATTAGAGTGCATGTGTACCAAAAACGCACCAGGGGCCCCAGATTGTGGCTTGCTTTTTAAAGATTTTGGCCACATCTCCACCCAGACAGCCCATCCCAGTCCCGAGCGAGGGGGATAAACACCCAGAATAGTGTAGAAAAATGCATGCCTAAATTAAAATTCAGAAATAAGTCTGGGGTCAACCAACGTCCCTCTAAGTTACAGACCTTCTAACTCCTACCACTTTCCAGCAGAATTTCCTCGGGAACTGATAGCATATGTCTTAGTTTTGCATTTACATCTCTGTATATGCTAAGCATCATAGTGTCACCTACATTTGTTGCACATCATTTTTCTTAGTAAGCACTCTATTACACTGGACATGTATCCCATAATTATTCTATTAATTTCCCTACAAAAAAATCACATCTAACAGGGGGTACGTCAATCTTCTTAAGAACTTTGATGGTTCATTAGTACAAAACTATATCCTCTGCCATCTTATAAACGAAACGATAGGCTCTATTTCTTTGACCCTCATTATAATTGCTAGAAATACATGTACATGTACTTGGTGTATTTGCTATAAAACATGTATATGAGAATATATACATTTGTGGTATCTCTCTATTATATAAACATGCAGAGAGCAAATATCTTCATACCTGTATGAAGTTTTTCGAAGGTCATAGGTCATTACGTGACCTAATCACACAGCGCAGTAATATCTACATAAAAAGACTTACTCCACTAAGCAATATAGCATGTTTTTCATGCATAAAAATGTACAAAATACGCAAGTAAAATAATTATCATTTTATTTAATGTAAACGAGTATTTAATACAGTTTTTGATCGGTTTTACATAGAGAATAGAAAACTACATGTTATAAGTTCCATGTCTGAGCTGCATAGTCTCAACGTTTACCCTTATTTTTCTCGCAGACCTCTGAATGCTATAATTTTTTTTCATTAAACTTTACTCACAATAAATTTGAAAATCTGTTGAAAAATATCAATGTAATGCAATCACGCCACAAACAGCTGACAAACACTGCACTTTGGAAGTTCGGTAGGCACACCTCTATCATCAAGATCGTTGTGACGTTGTCTTAACAATGTAAGCTGTCGCCAGTGTCTCCACGTCAACATCATAAACTAATAAATATGCCTTACTGAAATCGTAGATTTTATGTTTTTGATCAAATTTTGTACTTGATTTCAAGTTATCTGGTCCGGACAAGTGTCTCCATCCATCCCTTTCCGACCGAAATTCCTCCAACTTTTTATTATCAAACATCGGACGTGTTTCTTGTGTTTTTTAACATCGAATATGGGTTCTCATGAATACAAAAATTCCCAGACACCAATATGCTCACTATAATTGATCACAAGTAGCCTTTCACAGAATATTCCCTTCAAAACAGAATCCTTTGCCTGATGAATTTGAAGCGTAACCGCTTTTCAAGCCGATTTACACCTAGCGTAATTTGTCAAAATCTACGACGTACAGTTAGTGCAATATTTATATTCGATTACATTCTATTGTCCGTCTCAAATGTATATATAAGTAATAAATAACAAGTTTAAAAACTTCAATGGGAATTGAAGTGGGTCGGTACGTGATCAAATCTTCTGAGAAGGCCTTCGGCCTTCACAGGATTTGATCACGTGACCGACCCACTTCAATTCCCATTGAAGTTTTTAAACTTGTTATTTATTTCTTAATTAATTTTTCTCCGAAAGTTATTTTATTTCCCTTATGCTATATATTATTTTGTATTACAGGTTTATAGAGATTTTATTAATACATTATCTCGTCTCTCCTTATGCATGATATTAAAATCAACAAGCTACAGAACAAATAATTTGAACCAGAAATACGACTTAAATCTAAGGTAGATGATAAATATCAATAGATGTCGCTCGCCCATCTATCAACATTGCGGTCTAAAAAGCCTGATTTCATTCTTATATTTTTATTTAAGGCACTAAAATATCTACGAAAGCCCAGAAGGCTCATTCGAGATTCGAGTTTCGAAATACGAGATTCAAAATTCGAGATTCGAAATTCGAGTTTCGAGATTCAAGATCCAAACTAATCAATCAAAAGGCGGATTCAATATTTGATTACTCCCCTTTATTAAGTTTTTACTATCAAGAAATCACTGAATATATTTATAACAAATGGGTCATTTGCTTTGATAATAATGCAAGAAAAAATGTTATATGTATCAAAACGAAATAAAAATGAATTTTGGGGTAACGTTTTGAAAATATATATACATAACTTATTTTCCTCATTAAACAAAACAATAGATACGTATATAAAATATTATATGGTCTTATCTTTGAATTGCGAAATTAGTAGGTCGATAAATTATTTAATAAGGATGAGGGAGAAAATCATTATTGGTATGAAATACTAAGGATAGTCTTTACACTGCACAATCATTTAATTAAGGATACATTTAATTACATTTAAAGGTGCATTTGTGCAGTTACACTGATCTACTATTTGATAGGAAATAAAATAAATTCCAGTTTGTATTGTATACCGGTGTATAATTTTTAATTAATTCGAGTATTCAAAGCCTTAGACCAAGATAAGTAATTGAAAACTTAATTTTTATGTACATTGTATCTCTCCTATTGGGAAACAGTGGTGTATATTCCCTTCTGCTAATGTGTATACGTAGGCTAATGTGAAGTCACAGATTTCAGCAAAAGCGCATCATTGCCGAATTGCGGATAGGCAAGGAGGGAGTCGCCCCCTCTCAATGGGGGGTTGGGTTCGGGTTGGAGGACCACTTTTTGCGATCTTGCATGGCTGAAGGAACCGGGGGGCACGGGGGGGGCGTGCCCGGCCCCCCATAATTTTGCCGATTGATAGTGTCCCCTCAACTGAAAATGTATGACTGTGCCCCCCCCCCCCCAAAAAAAAAAAAAAAAAAAAACTGAATTTGCTTCCTACGGGCCTGTCTTGGATATATTTATCATTGTCATTTTTTCCACTAATATAATTAAAAATCATTTAATTATATATTTATGATACAGAAATTAAAATCCTCATGACCTCTCTTAATAAAATTGAGAAATTTTAAAATCCTTACACAGTTCTCGGAAATTACGGAATCTTCTTTGCTGAATAATCTAAATATAATTTTTAAAATGTTTTATGTTTGACTTCCTACTATTCCAAACATATTTCCTAATTCCTATTTCCTGTCCTAATCGTAGACTCCTGTTGCTGTCATTTTTAATAGTCTGATATCGACTTCAAGATAAAATTTCAATTCTAGATTTAACCAGCTATAAAAATCAAAGGTTTTGTATACTGTAAAAACTGGATAGGCATAAAAGTGTGAGTTGCTAAAAATACTTTTATTGCATTTGATGAAAAAATATTCTAGTAACTGGTAAATAAACAAGATTTATGATCAACTTCCCCCCATTTTTCAACCAAATACATGTATACATTTTTTTTTACATCAAGAAAATGATATTGCCTATATGGAATTTACACCATTAAAAAAGCGAACGCGATTTTTTTTTATCTCTACTACGATGTCTTTCAAGATTTCCTGTGTACACTAAAAATGCATACATAACCTAAATAATTTTAATAGAACTCCTTTAGGCTATACGATTTTTTTGAAATCCTAAAGGTGTATAGAGGGTCCATTGTTTTGTTAAAATAATTAATTTTTTATCATTATTAAACACTTTTATATATTTTTTTTCTCTATGGCCATTACATCATGTATTGAAACTTGTGTATTGATTGGTTATGTATCTTGAGAGACCCGAGCGGTTTCCTTATAAATAATTATCGCATACATATAATTATTTTGCCCATGCATCGCAAAATTGACACTGAATGTTGATAACCGAACATATGTCTACCGCTGTAATCAAATAAACAACATAGCCATAGGACCCTAGGCACGTGTTCCCCTCCCCCTCCCCCTCAATTCCCCTTAAATATTTTTACCGATATATACAGGGTGTTTCAGCAAACTTGTCCCGACTTTGCAGATTCAATATAAAGTTAGACAGTATCAATGTAAGAAAATTTTTGCAAAAATGAAAACCACATAACCAAACAATTTTATCAATATGAAAGTTGGAGTGATGCTGAAATTATTTTTTAAGAAAGGCATTTTTAAAGTTTGAACTTCAGCAGGAGTTTTCAATTTAACGTCATTTTTTATGTGTTCAAAAAGCCACAACGTTTTTAAGTCAGCATCCTCATTTTGTCTCTGAAGTCCTGTATGGCTTATATTTTGACATCATTTAAAAGTCTGTTTCGATCCTAGAAGGATAGTTTTCTTATGAGTACTTCTTTTTTCAAAATCTTATGCACTAGTATTGGTGAATTGGAGATTTCCTTTTGCGTTGATTAGTTCGAAACATCCATAGATCCATTTTTGGAGGAAAAAAAACTGACAACCTGATTTTTGAACATGTAATCGAAACTTCAATGGAAAAAATATAATGAAGTTATTTTATATTGTTTTATATCACAATTATATTGCCGGAAAATGTGCTATAAAATACGGTTATAATTTTGTAAATATTTTATTATTGTGCAAAAATATAGACATCAAAAGTCGGGACATGTTTGTTGAAACACCCTGTACTATAGAAAACATAGCAACTTTATGCTTGTGTCCTTTCAAAAATAACGTCTAATAACCGTGATAACCCCCCTTTTTTTGAGGGGGGGGGGTCTTTACATTACATTTTTATTATTTCCTACGGGCCTGAACAAAGAGAAATCATTATTTTTAATTAGCATGTATATTTCAGCCATCCGTACTTAAGGGACTGTCTCTTGGTTTCACAAACTAGGTCACTGGTCACTTTCTAAAACATTGTCACAAACTATATCCACTTTGAAACCCGTATTGGTCACTGGTCACTTTCTAATACCTTGTCACAAACTATATCCACTTTGAAACCCGTACTGGTCACTGGTCACTTTCTAATACCTAGTCACAACCTATATCCACTTTGAAACCCTTATTACTTTATATCATTAATCGCTAGCCACTTGTTTAATTGCACACTAATAATTCTCATCAACTACAATAAGCCCCCCTCCCCTCCCCCCTCCCTTTGCTCTTTGAATCCGATTAACAATATTTATTATTATGATTTCAAACCTTTAACCAAACTAGATAATACGATATAGATATTCTTGATATAAATCTATTATAATATCTAAGAAGTTATAATATAAATTAAAGCATACTTTGCAGACCAAAAACCCAATCTTTTTTCTCATTTCGTTCTGATATAAATAACACTCTTTCTTGCATTGTAATATAATCAAATGACCTCTTAGGTTTGAATATATTCAACGATTTCTTGAAGGTCGGAACCTAGCAAAGGGGAGTAATTGAATCTTAAACCGCCTTTTGATTGGTTAGTTTGGATCTTGAATCTCGAAACTCGAATTTCGAATCTCGTATTTCGAAACTCGAATTTCGAATGAGCCTTCTGGGCTTTCGTAAATATCTCATGTAATTTTTTAATGAAAATATCGACGCTTTTTCTACCATCGCATTTTTTAGTATTTAATATGAGAATTTCATGATTTAAGAATATATGTCTGCTTTTGATTCTTAAAGCTAAATTTGATATTCTACAAATATAATCAAAGGAAATAAAGAATCAGGTGACTTTCAGACCGAGCACGTTAATGTTAAATAATTTTATTTGTCTCTTCATAATTTAACTCATGAAGCAGTGAAAGGAACCAACTTGCCATTGATTATGCAAGAGACTATCTAGAACAACTATGAACAATCCTGAACAAATGCTTGTTTCTTAAGCACATTATTGTATATAATGACCACGAAATATATACAGCTGAACATACCTTGGATGTCGTAATTAGCATTGATTTCGTCGGTATAATTACGGAGGAAACATACAGAATTATTGACGTTGAGTAAGTAATTCTGTACGTTTACTATTCTTTCCGATGTGTCGTTTTGGTTAATTTTCATCTTTTGTTCTATTTCCCTTAACATTTTATTATGTTCACGCTGCACGTTCATTATCATTTCAGATGTGTCGTTATGATCATGTTTCATCTGTTCTATTTCAATCATCATTTTTTTATCTTCATGCCGGAGATCATCAGTACTTTTTCTTATTTCTTCTGCGCCGGTTTTCATGGCTGCCATATCATTTTTCATACTAATCATATCGTTGACCAGTGAATACACTTGTTTCAGTAAAGATAGCCTTATCACCGTTTCTTGATTTATCTGGTTCTGCAGATGGTTAATGATGATTTCACTTGCTTCGCACGAGGATTTTACATTAACGACATCCCCTGCCTTCTTATCTGTTAATGGCGAATGTGAATCTACCACGGCAAATAATATCCACAGAAATGTATAATGCAAAAAAGTCATTGTTCAAATCGCAATACTAAATGTTAGCAACAGAATTCTGTAAACGCTGAAGTTTGACGTTGTAAAAGTCCTTCCAGGTCAACATGCAAAATGTTGTGATCGGTGCAAGTTACAAATATTTATAATATATAGTAGTTTAGCTGCGTACAGAGAATAGAAAAATTAGAGCTAATCAAAACAATTTAGATGCTTAAGATACTTTGCATCTTAAGTACTCATATCTTATTTGGTATAGTCAGGGAAAAATAAGTAAAATGCCACGACTTCAGGACGTGTGTGCCAAGCTTTTATGAAATAAGAAGCAATTTGACTGATCAGAGGAGATTCTCTTTGAACTACACTGCCTACTACAATCGAATTTAATATATCATTAAAACCTTTGATTTTCATGTATAATTTTGGATCAAGCGCCAGCTTATTTATATGAACTTTTACCAAAACAGGCTTCAACTAAATTAAAATACGCGATAAGATGAATTGTAGTTTTGTAAAACAAAAAAGAAATTTTATTGATAGGATTTTCTGTACCATTGGTCCAAAATGTGGAACAGTTACCCCTATACACAACACAGCCAAAACCTCTTGATATTTTCTAGACCTCACAAATTACTTTCTGTAGAGATATTGAAGCATAAATCTACTTCTAGCATGCATATTTCATAAGTAAAAAAAAAATCGCAATTGCTATAGATTGTTGTTCACCACAATCATTTAATAAAAGCAGTTTCAATTTCAGTTTCAGATTCACTTAGGAAGTGTTTCTGTACAATTCAAAACACTTTAGATTTGTTGTCCGAGATAACCTAGTGTATGTACTTCAGCTTTTAAAATTTGCCTCTAGTAGTTACACTTGAATCTGTACTTTTAATTGACCCCTTAAATCATGTAACATACTGACTGCGAGTTTCGAGGCCTTCTTCCATTTTAAATAAAAGTATGTTGTACGCAATCAAAATATTTAAAATATTTTAAGTTATTATTTATTGAGTTATTAATAATTTTAGTTATTATAATTTAAGTTACTATTAAGTTTAACGGATTATTGGAAGATTTGATCTACAAAAACTTCAAAGATATTGTCGATCAGAACCTAAAATATCTTTTTAATATCAACTTCTGAATACTTCTGTGTACAATCAGCATGTTTTTAATAAAATAATTTTGCAAATGACAAATGACAAGATAAGTAAATTTACGAATTTCTTTTTTTATTGAAAAAGCAGTTGTCTATAATGTCAAAAAGTCTAGACTTAAATTTATCGTGGGTAATGGCTGTATAAAGAGTTACAAAGTCGCACGTTCTGATTTAGGTAAATTTTTTGTGATTTCAAATTCTAGAAAAGTTCCTTGGTGTACTTCCTTTAAGTATCCACATCTGATTAACATCACAAGACACTTCTCGAATATATTGTTGTACAGTACTCCTGAAGTTTCTCCCTCTATTCATTGCAGTCAATATTTTAGTGAGGAGTAAAGAAATTGGCTTGGTAGAACAATTACAGGAACCGCTATGTATCTTTGTTTATAGGAATTTAATGTAGTTTAGGAATACATGTAGGTATGGTAATTCAGATTCAATTGATTGTTGGGAATATCAAAAAAAAAAAAAAATAAAATAAAAACTGACATATGATTTTGAAGAATTTCCTTCTTAGAAAAGGAACTATGAATATAAGTTGGATAATAAGATGATGGAAAAATCAGTTCTTTTGATATGTAGGATCTCGCTCTCTCTCTCTCCCTCCAACATAGATATATGGATTAAGAAATAAGTTAAGGTCAAGATCTAGTAAATGAAAGGAGCCTACAGATTTCTCAAATTTGAGAAATAAATTCCTTTAAAGATGCTTTTTAAGTATAGCTTGGTCAAATAAGGTGTATCGTGGCAAGTTTTGTAGGTAAACAAGATGAAAAACCATAATTTAAACTGTCTTTTTTGATGAAAAATTAATAAAATCAGTCATGAATATGGGAGTTTTTTTCTTATCGGACAAAGGAAATGTATCCAGATTGCCTACAGTCTCTCAGAAAACGGTAATTTGTTTGTTCTTATCCTCTTCTTTAAATTAATATCAAAATAAATATAGGTTTCGGGATTAATTTTCACATGATTTCAAATTTAGTTCCATGAAAAAACTTTATTTTCTACATAATTCTATTGGAGCCGTAAAGTACGGGAAAAAGAAAGTTTAAATTGATTATGACGTCATAATGGATCTAACACCTAAAAGACAGTCTAAAGTCATTTACTAGAGCTTGACCTTAAATGCAGTTTGTCTGCATGAAGGAATTAGTTGTATACAGCCAGTCAGCCATCCTGCGCATATTGAACAATGGTTTTACTTGTTCAGTCAGGATCAAAATATGTAACATTCTCTTAATTTGGGTAGATCAACATAAAAATAACATATGGATACTCTTAAATACTCTTTCATCCTGAATATTGTTTATTTTTAAGTTTATATCATCCAATATACAATAAGGATGTTTTCAAATTTTAGTTTAAGGAATATATTTTAGATTGTCTTTTGAGCATTTTCAAGACGGTATGCCGTACCTTTGGTGAAATTTCTCATTGTACGTGTTTGGAAGATGGCCACGTATCGATTTATTGCATTATTAATCTCACAGATATGAGGTCTTATTTTGTTTTCATATTGACATATGCTAACTAGATGTTCTCAATGAAAAATGATACATGAAAAGATGACGAAAATTAGCATTCTGTCCTTTTATGCATCTGTCGAAAACAAGATAAATAGAAATAGATCACAGAGTCGAAAATGTTACATTCTCGATATCTTGAAATGCTTATTCGAAAACATAACAAGAAATAAATGTGTCGATTTCAAATTTAAAAAAAAGGAAAGTGATTGGATGTCCATGCCCTTATTAAGTACCTGTGGTCAATGTATGTTCCAGGTAAAATCTTGTCTACAAACTGCTATATATACATGGGTACCAATTGCATCCTGTTATTAACAGACCTATTTTTGTATTCATATGAAGCAGAATTTATTCAAAATCTTATACATGAGAAAAGGAAATCTCTTGCCTGTGGCCCTCAACTCGAAATTTAGATATATCGACGACGTATTATGAATTAACAATATGTATTTCCATTTATATGTCAACATAATATATCCTCCGAGCTTGAAATGATTCATAAGAGTTATCTTCCTGTGATCGCAAACCTTACCTTAATGTGACGATGTCAGAAAAGTATTTCTTGAAGATTTACCCTCGATAAAAGCAAATCATTTCTTCATAAACTGTTTCTTAATAAGAAAAACCCCACGATGATCTCTTAGTGCCTATGCCTTAATCTCCCTAAAATCCATAAATAAAGCTGTTCTACTATGGACATTGAAAATTTAGACAAACGATTCCATACTGGCTGACACAGCGCCCGATATAAAAATTGAGGTGTCAATTAATCTGTAGAGTCTACAAGGGGCACAAACTCTGACAGAGTGGCTTGGTGCCCCCCCCCCCCCCCCCCCCGTATTCTCCTTCGGGACATTAAGAATGTATTCTATATACAGTTAGCAGAAAACCAGTTTGGTATAAAACAAACCAAACCTTTATTAAATTAAAGAATGTGAGGTTTCAATTAGAGCTGTTTTTGACAAGTAGCTCCTAAGTTTGAGTGTGTCGCAATCTGAAAATGAGTGCTTCAGCTGTAACTAACATCCTTAAAAATTGCTGATATATATAAAAGAATAAGCGAATATAACACTGCAGTTGGTTGACTTGTACTTACTGAAGTTCATCATGGAGTACGCTTTTTACCTTTTCGTCTTTGTGGCAATTATAACAACGTTTGAGGGAAATAACTATTGTGAAGCTGTACTTACGAATGCCAAGACTACCTCGAATTTAACTGCTGACAGAGTGAGTGATCTAAAAGAAATTTTAATCAATCAGGATTTGACTCAGAAGCTACAACTCGTACAAAATGTCATACAAATAATGAACGATGTTCAAACATTAAAGAATGATGTTCAGCGCCTTAAAAAGGAAAATTCCTATCTCAAGAGAGAAGTTGAAAACAAAACAAACAGTGAGTAAACACATTATTTTTTAAATGAAAAGAAAACGAGGTATTTTCAAAAAATATAGTATGGGGATTTTTCTAAAAATTTCAGTCATACAAATGCACGTGATGACTGATGTTCAATCATTAGAGAATGATGTGCAAAGTCTCAAGTCAGAATATTCCTATATCAAACGAGAATTTGGAAATCACTTGATCAACACAAGAAATGAAAGTACGTATATCTGATTTGTTTATTATGCCAGTAGAAAAATACCTACATTTAAAAATGTTATTTTAATTTTGTTTTTGTGTTGGTATAATTTAGCATAGCATAATTTCATTTTTAATATATATTGATAAGCATTTGAACATGAGGGTTTATTTTGGATTCTGCAAGAAAAAAAAGATAAAAAAAATAAAAGCAAGCCGGAAACTCTGATTTTTTAATTTTCTGTCAAAATTATTCAAGACACAAGGGTAAAATGATACATGTAATTGAATTGAAAAAAAAAAATTTCGTCTTTAATTCTATCACGGCAATAAAAGTGTAACGCGAAGTGTTCCGAATTAGAGATATATTAAAGACATTGTCCACATAATACATAAATCAACACAGCTTGATTTCAAATGGAGTAAAGTTTTGGTTTACGATTTTTTAAAAAATAATTTTTGGAAAGTTTAGCTTTATAACCAAACAGTCGTTACCAAATGTTTTTGTTTCTAATGACTGCGTCAACTCTCTTGTACTGTGAATTAATAGGTTCATAAGTGTCATAGTTTAGCATGCTTTACAGTAAATAAATATATTGATATCCATTTGAAAATAATTATGTATTAAATACCCTAGATTTAATGTTCCAGGGTGCGCACGGACACTGGAATGCCTGGATCAGAAAACATACGTTGCCTTTTATGCGTACTATTCTAACAATTTTAAAGCTCTATCCACTGGGACGACTTTAATCTTTGATTTAGTAGAGACAAACCTTGGCAACGGGTACAATAAAAAAACTGGAATATTCACTGCTCCAACTTCCGGTGTCTTTGCCTTTACATGGACCTTGCACGCTGCGGGAAAACATGTCGCTGGATCATCTGGGAGCAACTATGGCGAAATGAATGCAGCGATAAAACAAAACGGAATCACAAAGGGTGTGATTGTTACTGATACTGAAACACAGTACGATAATGCTGCTGGTACTGGGTTTGTTGTATTGAGTCTAAAAGCTGGAGACCAAATAAAGATTGTGTCTAATAACTATAACGGCCAAGGATCTATGTACAGCACCGATCAAAATGGCCGAACATCATTTTCAGGATTTCAGATTGCATGATTCCTCTACTTATAATCATTTATTTAGGTATATTCATTATTGTAGTTATTGATTATTCATATTGATTGAAGAATTAACTACATTTTATTTCTTAGATTTAAAAAAAATCATATAATTCTGTAATGTCCATTGCTTACAACTTTTTTTTTCAACTAGACATTAACCCAAACACGCACGGGTTAAGGACTTAAATATTTGTGCAATTTATTAGCATAATCTCTTGATGTTTCATGTCCAGATTCATTGTTTGCTGATAATTAGACCTTCTGAGCTGAGGATTTAAGAAAGCTAATGTTAACGTAAACTTGTCATCGAATTACTGGCCAATTCATCAGACTGGTCAAAGTTTACATTAATCATGTTAATGTAAGATAAAAACATAGATCTAAGCATATTAGATAATCAAAGGTAAAATTCTCCCCTATTTGTCATCTCTCTCGAGAGATGACATATTAAGTTTAAAACTCAGATGAGAAGTCTCAGTGTAAGCTGCCATTTATAAACTGGTGGTCTGGCAAATGACGCGATTTTTAAATACAGATATGCTAGATATCTGGTAGTGGTGGGTCTTCAAAATACATGTCATGGCCGTAGGAACGGGGGGGGGGGGGCGTGCCCCCGAATGATTTTGCCGATATATAGATTACTATAGAAAACATAGATACTATATGCTTGTGCCTTCTCAATAAAAATGTCTGATGACCTTTTTTTTTTTGCTTGTCCAGAAATTTCTGGTAGTTGATAGTACCCCTTCAAACTGATAATGTATGGCTGTGACCCCCTCCCCCCAAACTGAAATTGCTTCCTACGGGCCTGCATGTAGTCATCTAGGCTATTGCGTAAAGGATGGACAGCGCTGCGCGTGCGTATTAAAATGTACTGAACATGGCATCGAATACGATCAGCCAAGACGTGGATCCATGAATTTAAAGAAAACGAAATTAAAGTGAAAACAATTACACAAATACTCGCATTAAATGCATAAATACAGCTGGTATGAATTGATGGCGAAAACTTTACTTTTGTGTATACTTTAGTCATTCGATAACTTGCTGCCATTTTTGAAATTACACAAATCTATTCAGCAAATGCTATTTCGAGGGGAAAAAGAGAAATTAAAAGCACAAGTTTCGCAGAGACATGCATAAATGTCTGCGATTTAAGAAACTACAGGATTGGATGATCTTAAAGAATCAAAAGTATTTTAACGCATGTCTGCACTGCACTCTTCTTTTTTTCCTTTAAAAATAAATATCAGAAATACAATATTATATTGTACTTACATTATTTAAAGCGTTAAAAGTTGAATCTGGACAGTAGATGTGTTTAATGTAAGAGTAGCTCATTTTCACCTTCATATCCCAGGTGGCTCGAGATTCGAACTCACGACTTTCCTATCACGGAGCGAGCGCTCTACGAACTGAGCTACCGTGAACGGTGATTTCTGATTATGAAACTAAGGATGAGTTTGTTCTATTGCTCATGTAAATAAATATTCCATAGTCGAATTTAGTATAAAAAAGAGGGATAACAATTGGTAACAAGGTCATTATATAATGACCTTAGAATTACAAAATACTGACTTTAAACGCGGTTGTGAAAATCCATGTAGCATCAAATTATCTATTAGTAGCCTGCCTCGGTTAAAGATTGAGCAGCATTATCGAATAAGTTTGGAGACATGAACACCATAAGCAGGTGATAGTGGTACATTACTTTATAAATAAGGAAAGTTGACGATGGAAAAGCTGGACATCTCGTTTGTCATACAATTTAGTTGTTAGTTATCCCTTATCGTCTACACAAAGTAGAAATTGGTCTTCAAGGTCCTTACGGTTGTATTGTAATTTCTTTCAATTCTAGAGCGATAAAGTGATTTATTCCCTTACTCTTATGCAATCAAGCACACAAAGAGAAATATTAACAAGAATTTCGTCATTAAAAAAAAGAAAATTAAGAAGAGGGGTTCAGAACCCCTGTGTAATTACACTGTACTCAGTATTATGAAGCAATGTTGTATGTTGTCCTCCACACACTGAAGTTTTTAGAATATATGTTGCTCAGTATGATTGACAAGATTTGTATCTTGTCAATATGTTTATGAAGCAAAACCAAGTACTTTTTGACACACTGGCATGTACCTTTTTGTCTAAAAGCCGTATTGCATTAAAGGCAAGCAGAAAACGATAACAATTTTAGAACAGATAAAAAGTGGCAAAATAAAAATATTATTTCAGAAACGGAAGTATAAAACCAATTAAAATTAACAAATATGTTAGTCACCAGGCCCTGGTGCAGTTTGAACTAGAATGATTAAACATTTTAAACAAACAATCAATAAGCCCATAGCAAAATCATTCATTATATCTCTTAAAAATCCATGTTGTTCTTTAAAAACAGGGTAATGCAGATGATGTATATAACTATAGAGAAATATCAGTAACATCTGTTGTTCGCAAATTATAAGGAAAATATTGTTGTTAAGCACCTATCCAATTATGCAACTGAAAATGATATAGAAGATTCAGTCTGGATTCCAGTCAGGCAATTATGTAAAATATACTTTATGTACTTCTTCTTTTATAAATAATATCTGTTGTCTGATCCAAATATGCATCGATACATACATGTAATCAAATATATCTTAATTCAATAATATCAAAATCTAGTGATACTAGCATTCTCAGCAGCTCTGACAATAGATTGAACTAGTTTTGTAATGTGAAAAAGTAGCAATTATGTAAGTGGCATATTTCTACAAACAGAAAATAGCTAAGGAATTCTCATTACACACGCTTAATTTTCTTTATTTTAGTTAATTATGGAAAATACATGCGTTGATACTACTTTAACCCTATGTTTTACTAAATTGAGTATAAATTCAACATTAAGATTTTGAAATATAAACTCAGATATATTTATGTCTGAATACCTGTATTTGTGAAAAGTTGCTACAGAGCTATTAGTATCAGGCTATTCCCCATTGATATCTGGTAACGGATGGACGTACAAATATTGATAAATTTCAAAAAATGAAATTAGGAAAACAAGGCACTTTACTAGCTGAACTATGTTTGATCTGTTATTTTAATTTTTTGAAAATACTTCATTTCAACATCGGTTTAATTTAAAGTGAGAGCAAACCTAAAAATCATCAACGTCAGCTGCAAAAGCTTGGAGAAAGTCCAGGAAACCATAACAGGTATGATATGACTCTGAGTGACATTATGTATTATATGTGTGGGTCATGTGTAGATCTCAGAATATGTACCCATTGACAGTATTTGCTTGTTACATGTATACTTGTACATGTAGACATATCTCATTGAATTTTATTTGCACATCGATTTGTTAGTCAAAATAGATTTACTTCACAATTTCTATTCCTTTATTGCAGAAATACATGAATCAACTTAAGTGAATAAAATCTATTGCACTTGTTGTTTTGATTGGCAATTCTGGAATCATCATTGAGTTCTTTTGCGACTGATATAGACAAATATAATTGACTGCGTCCTATGTGTTTTAAACGTGTCTATTAATAGCCCACGTGCGCTACAAGAAGTGATATCATATCCCGAAAAATAGTTCCCTTTAGAAATATTAATTAGATTACAAAAAGTCAAAGAATTCCTTAATTACAGATACCAAATTGTTAAAATAGAAAGGTAATTCTAAAATTGTAAATGCAGGACAAAAATAAATTGATTTTTTTTATCATTTGGAACTATATTTTGATTGGACAACTAGCGGTGTGATATCTTATACGGTTCATAAATACTTTCATTGTACATCATCGACCATTATGCAAAATATATCTGCTGAGTATTTTTCCTTCTTCTATCTATATATCCAAAAATGCTCTTTTTCTATCTGCTCTTTTGTGAGATCGCATTATCCATGTCGATGACACACTCGCCTTTGACGGATCTGAAATCCGAGGACAACCCAATAACAGATGTTTGTGCCAACGAATCTTTAGGGGAAGACATTTACCATCTGAAGCAGCAACTAAATCAAGAGTCTTTAATACGACTGTCACTCAATCAGATGTTTGTTTTTGTTAATGAAATGTTAATAGTGAAAAAAAGATATGTCCGAGACTCTAAGCAAAATACAAGAACTGGAAAACAATATTACTGATCTTAGACTTGAGAATCAGCGATTGCACAAGATATTAGACCAGAGCATAAGAGAAAAGGAGAAGGATGATAATACAAACCTACAAATGATTAAGGAAATACAGAAAGATATCAGGAATGTAACATCAATTGTAGAGAGCTTCCGTAACTATACTGAAAAAAGAAACCCGATTAGTGGGTCAATTTTAACAAAAAGATACATGTATAAATCTCAAAATTTCCCTTGAATTGGATTAGATATAGTTCAAAAGGTAAAATATTAATTGAAGACTTTACAAATCTTAAAATATTAATATAGTTGAAACTGTTCATATTTTATGCTACATAGTTAAAATTAAATAATTCTGTACTATTTAATAAGAGTTTTAAGCATTTATTAATTTACTGAGAATAAAAATTGAATAGTTTTTGATTTATTTAGTCTATATAGTTACATTATGTGTCACCGTATAAAGTTCCTTGAATTAATAAGCCCTCGAATGTTTCCTTCGTTTCACGCCCGCCTTTCACGCTCTGTGAGACAGATTGGCTTCTACCAAACTGTTATCTTTGACTTTGAAGTAGTGGACACAACAAATTCCTACGATCCACAATCTGGAATTTTCACTGCACCAGTAGCTGGAATATATGTCTTTTACTGGAATATACTGTCTAATGAAGCCTCAGGAATGGACACAACATTAGATTCCTCTCAAGGATCTTTAGGATATGGATTCGTCAGCCATGCTGTAAATTATGGAAATGGGGGAAACTTGGTAATAGCCAAACTGACTTCCGGAACGAATGTATGGGTGAAGAAAGCTGCCAGATACGGAAATTACATACATGAGAGATTTTCGACATTTACTGGTTATATTTTACATGCATCAGGTTGATATGAACCATGTTCTTCTCAATAAAATTGTAAATGATAACTAGTTCAATGAAACATGTTGCAATAATTAAGTTTTGTTGTCATATTTGTTCTATGTATAGTGCGTTGTGGTATACATGCAATATTTGAAAGAACATGTCATTGTTTTGTAAACATTGCGAGTTTTAAGGTAACGCCTGAGCTAAGAGGAAGTTCAGAATTTGTAAAAAGGAGGAAATTTTTTGCCAGTTGGTAAATTTCAGGTAAGGGTGGGAATGCCCCGAGGGTAACAGTCTATCTCAATTCGTATTTTTTGCAATTTCCTATACACTGGCCATGGCTTAATGCACAATTAATAATCCTGCAGTAGTTGAACATTAATTTACTTGTATTGGATTAATTTGCAATATCACTGAGACGATTTTACAATAATTGTAAAATATTCGAAAAGAATTATTAGTCCTTTACCGGTGAAACCGGAGGGGACTATTGGTTTTCTCTGAGCCTGTCCGTCCGTTTTTCTGTCTGTCTGTCCCTCTGTCTGTCAGTCTGTCCCACTTGGTTTTCCGCACTTTTTTCTAAACGCTTGCAGATATTGAGCTGATTTTTGGTATGTGAGTAAAATCTTGATGAGTTACAGATCAAGTTTGCATTTCGTTCCGCTTCAATGATTTTTGACGGAATTACAACCTTTTCAATTTTTCAGGGTTTTCCGCATTTTTTTTTTTCTAAACGCTTGCAAATATTGAGCTGATTTTTGAAATGTGACTTTATAGATCAAGTTTGCATTTCGTTTTGCTTCACTGATTTTTGACGGAATTATGTTATTTTCAAATTTTAACGGGAACCAAATTACACTTGCCGGTAGGGGACTAGTATTGCTAATGCAATACTCTCAATATTGTTCCTATTGTTGTAGATATAATAATAATTTGCGTTTGAATTTTTTTACATAGAAAATGAAAGATTTCAGTATAAAATTTTACGAAAATACTTGACTTGATTAGAAAAAAGACAACCATCGGACAAGTATGCATTAATTTTAATTAAAAGGAAATGCATTGACCGATGGGAGTCCCTGTACATTGCAGCGGATTTTAATTCCTGGCTACATAGCGATTTTCATTAGAAACCCTAGGATGGACATTATCCACCAATTTCTATATTTAAGTTGTAGTAGTATTTCAGGAGGCATTATATACTTTTAGGGATTGTATGACGTCTATCATGGTACGTCCTTGACGTCCTCGCGTTCCGGCGTACTGAATCAGACATTCTATCTCTCTTTGGAATCAGACATTCTATGAACCATGAAATATGGAGATAACGAACAGTAATCATGCTTAAAAGTTCATTGAAACGATACAAATTGGAAACAGAGCAAACACTGACCACTCAAATCATTAGAGGTGAGAACAGGTGTCATGGAGGAGTAAGCATCCCCAGTCGACTGGTCACACCCGCCGTGTGCTCCTTGTTCTGATCGGGCAAACGAAAAAAAACCCTTAAAAAATGTGTAAGTAATGGCCAACAATTTGCAGATAAACGTCATTTAGCATTAAACTTTAAGAAAGATTGTATTTGCTGACAAGGTCATTGAGACTGTTGATATCCTTGTTTCCTCAACTTATTTATCAATAGCTTGCCTCGTTTTAGAAAGTTTTCATACTTGGAGCAATTAATTGTAAAAGGTTTTTGACATATTGTTTCAAGATTTTCTATTTTTCCACATATGGTTAATCTAACTGTTCAGTATTTTGTAATAGCTGAAAAATATTTTTCTTATAATCATCTTCGCTTCAGATAGAAGCATTCACTTTCCAATATCCCCTCCCATGTTAAGTTCAGACATTTTATATCCAAATTTCAACATTCTGTGATCAGACATTTATAATTATGCATTTTTATCACTTCATCATCGTCAACGGATTGAGGGACACCCTTGGCAGTTATTTTCATAGCATCTTCATTTTGGCTAGAAATATTCGCAGAAAAGGGATTTACACCGTACATCTTCATGATATTTCCAATCATTAAGCCTTCTTGTAAACATTTTACACGTCTTTCTGAACTGTTTACATTTAACCTTCAAAGATCACTATCCTTTCGTTCACATTTAAGATCTTACGCACTCGAAACCAGAGCAACAGACAACTCATAGTCTGTAATTCCATTATTATTCTCATGAGGAAGCTCAGAGGTTTTGCTTTTTACATAAACTGGTTTTAACATTTCTATTGTTATTGATTATGCTATCAGATAAAACTGTAAGAAACGTTAGAATTTTGTCTCGGTGAAGAGTATTCAACCGAATACAAGCAAACAAAGGTATAAGCTACTGAGCAGTGCTCAGATCCGGAGAGAGAGAGAGAGAGAGAGAGAGAGAGAGAGAGAGAGAGGATCAAAGTCGAAACTCAAAACCCCCCACAAAACTGTCTATATATATACATAGGAATGGCAAGGTGATTCTCATCCTGAAGAATTACAGGTTTTAGACAACTAATCCTCAGAAAACCGTCAAAACTCATAGCTCAGAAAAACACTTCTGATCACCTCTGTGACATATAATCAATCTGACCCCGGTTTCCACGTTCCAAAGTGGGATTCGAACCTGCGACGTAAGGATCAGTCATGTTGTAGTCCAGGATAGGTGGAGTGACTTGGTCATAGTCAAAATAGTACTGTTTTTGAAGAATATATTTACTATTCCAAGAATATCAACAGAATTTACACTAATTTCTTTCATGGAATATATCGGAATACAGTATAAAGCCCACATTCCCTCTTACTAGTTCTTAACCGATTATTCTCGTATTTTCATAAACCAAAGTATCAATTCAAAACGTCTTGGACTTCAATATTAAAACTGTCCTCACCTCTTCGAATAGGTGACATCACCTATTTAAACAAGTTATATCACTCATTCATATTGAATAGGTGATATCAGCAATTTGAATTGGTGATACCACTTATTCGAATAGATTTTATCACCTTTTGAATTGGTGATATCACCTATTCGAGATGAATAGGTGATAATTACCTATTCAAATATGTGATTTCACGATTTCGAATGGAATATGTCTATCACCTATTCGAATTGGTCATATCTCCTGTTTGAATAGGTGATATCATTTAATGACAGTAAATACCAAAACGGTTCCTCATACATAGATTACAGGAATTGTAAACCCCAAGCTGTGAAGTCATTAGTTTAGTCAAGGATTGTTCAGGATGGTCAGGGAAGTGAACAAACACCTAATCAGATGCAACGAAAATAACGAGAAGATATTCCAATATAGAAGGTTTAGCTGTCTCAAGAATGAATTTTACATTTACATAAGATTGATTCTTTTTTGTTTTTGTTTTTAAAGGCACAGAGTAAAATGATTTTTTAAATATCTCAACTTTGGATATTTGATATCTTCAGATGGAATATTTATACCCCCGCTCCGAAGGAGAGGGGGTATACTGTTTTACCCTGGTGTGTCTGTCTCTCTGTCTCTCTGTCTGTCTGTCTGTCAATAACAAATTCTTTTTTAGCAGTTTTCTCAGAAACTACTTCTTTCAGTTTCTTGAAATTTTAGCACACTTTTGTTTTGGCATGCTATAATGTGAGATTCATTTTTGTTTGAATCTGATGTCAACTTCCTGTTTATCCGTGTGTCTGTCCGTACAATATATAACAAATTATCGTCACAGTTTTCTCAGCAATTACTCATTGCAGATACACGGAATTTTAGCACACTGCTTGTTTAGATATGCTCTATGGTGGGATTGATTCATTTTTATTTGAATCTGATGTCATCTTCCTGTTTATCTGTGTGTCTATCTGTACAATGTGTAACAAATTTTTATGGCAGTTTTCTGAGCAAATCTCATTATAGATGCTTGATTAGCACACTCTTTGTTGAGGCATACAGTATGATGGGATTCATTTTTGTATGAATCTTATGTCAACTTCATGTTCATCCCTATGTCTTTCCATTGCTGAACTTGTGTATATTCACATTAGAGTGTATATACACATCAGAGCAGGAGTATCACTAGTGATCATTGGCTCACAGACTTTTTGTTTGATCTGTATACGTCTAATATTTGACTTTGTGGAGCAGTTGTCAGAGCGTTGCTCTAGAGTCGCGGAGTAAAGACTTGATTCTTATATCGCGGGTTCGAATCCACGGTGACATGGAGACCGTATAAGTCGAGGTCCCTTGTCGCAGTAAGAGCTGGCAGAAAAAAATTCTTCACTGCTCATAGGCCGTAAATGCCAAGTACAGGTCTTTTGGCAGCCCTCCAAAAATTTTCTAGCTAGTGTTTGTAATTGTGGATGCTGCGCATCACGTGTAAAGGAAGATAAAACTCCTGATTCAAAAAATCGGTTCATTAAATTAAATTTGACAACAAAGGAATAGATGCTGTGAACATTAGTAAGATTCTTAATCATAAAAACGTTCAGTCTTGCATTCCACCATATACTCAAGTTGAAGTCTACACCCTGCATTTTCTACAGATATTCCTAAACTGTTGCTTCCATATTTTCCAAAATTTAAAACAATATCCTTTTAAGTGTTCTTGCTTCTTCTTTCACCTACAGTCCTGCTGAACACGTCATGTCAAAACAGTTGGAAATGACGACCTAAAAGCAAGAATCTTAACAGGCCCTAAATACTGGGAGCCCCGATATTCACTTCCTTTCTATTATAAACTCGGTTCACCAAGGTGAATTCGATTTAACCTTTCCAATATACTGGATTCCTAAACTTCATAAAAAATCTTTAGGAAGATATATTTCCGGGTCCATCAATTTAAATGCTCTACCAAACCCCTATCCTTACTCCTCACAAAATTATTATCTGCTATAAAGGAAAAATTTCAGACGTACTGTGCTATTCTAGATGTGGTGTAAATCAGATGTGGATTCTCAAAAACTCCAAAGAACTTTTAGAAAATTTAAGATCAGTGTTTTTTTTTCTTTCAAAAATCAGTAACATCAAAGCGTATGAATTTTCTACTCTATACAACTAAACCTCATATTGAATTAAAAACTAGCTAGGCTTTTTTGATATCATAGACAACTGCTTCTTCCAAAATAATAAAAAAGAACTCGGAAATGTTCATGTCTTGTGACTAGTCATCAACAAAATTACTTTGTCAAAAATCACTCTGATTATACACACAAATACTCTGAAGTTGATATTCAAAGGATGCTGGAGTTTCTCTTTGGAGTCCAGGTCTTCCAACAAACTGCTGGAATACTGTTGGGCACTAATTGTGCTCCTTAATTAGCCGACCTGTTTTTTTTATTCCTATGAAGCAGAATTTAATTGGAGGTCCGTGTTTGCTCTGCTCCTATTTTGTATTGTATAATGGACTTTTGAGCTTGAATACTGTTCGTTATCTCCGTATATTTCATTAAAGAAAACCCTCTACATGAGAAGAAAAAACATTCAGATATATTGACGGCGTTTTATCAATTAACAATATTTACTTCCATTCATATGTCGACTTGATATATCCCAGTGAATAAAATACACCACATAGTCTGCCACATCTGTTTCATATTTGGATGTTTGAATGAATATAGACGATAAGGGACAAATAACAGCTAAATTGTATGATAAACGATACTTCAACTTTTCCATCGTCAACTTTCCTTTTTTTGTATTAATACTCTGCTATCACCTACATCACAACTTATTTGATAATCTAGAGCACGCTCTGAGTATGATCAATTTTTTAAACCGAGGCAGGCTATTGACATATAAGTTGATGTTACATGAATTTCAACAACCTCCTTTATAGTCAGCATTTGGTAAATTCTATGGTCGTTTAATGACCTTGTTAGCAAATATAACCCATCATTGGGTCTTATTTTGGCTGACGTTTTTCATACCATTGTTGTAGCTTTTGTTTTTATACTAAAGACATCAATGACATTCAATGTTTTGTAGATGGACATGGAGTTTATTTCACTCATGGGACAAGATTTTTGATATTTTCACGAGTGCAAAGCACTTATCAAGTTCTATTTGATTTGGTAGTAAAGTAAAACAGACACTGCTTCTTTGTAAAAATACGATCTTGATGTATGATTATGTGAGAAATTATTGAAATAACCTTTCTCTTACTTCCGTTTTGTAATATGTAAACACCATGCTATCAGGATTGCAGTAGTTGTTGATTTTTTGGTAAACATTGGTTTTGTCTGATAGTCCTCATGAATCATTATTTAGCCACCTTTAACATTTATTTCTATAAAAGTGCTGAGAACATATTAAAGAAGTGATAATTCGAAAAAGAAATAATTATTGACACTATTTTATACAAAGAGGAAGGTGTAATAAGTAAATAATCATTTCATTTAGTGGAAATATTCTTTACATTGAAGTTGTATTTGTTTCCTATTTCTTTTTTAAATTATAAAAATATACCCTCCTTTGTCAAGAAAATAATCCTAACAACTTCACATTATCAATATAACAAATCTAAAAAAATTCAATTTCGTTTAACATCAGTGTGTAAGCACAGGTTTTCTGAGTAATGTATATCTGAAATTAAACCAGAAAATTAGTTTAAATTAACCTTCTCTAATGAAATGTTTTTCAAACGGAATCTATGTAATGTAATCCAGAAAACAACTTTGAAGATTTTAAATAGCCATGAAGAGTAGCTCAAATGTTCAAAGGTGACACAATCTGAAAATGATGCTTCAGCTGTAACTACCACCCAGAAAAATTGCTAGTATATATACGAAAGAACAAGACGAATATGATATATCACTGCAGTTTGTTGAGTTGCACTTACTTTAGTTTATCATGGAGGACTCTTTTTACCTGTTCGTCCTTGTGGCCTTTATAATAACGTTTGAGGGAAACAGCTATGGCGAAACTGTAGTCACTAATGCCAAAACTACCTCGAATTTAACAACTGATAGAGTGGGTGATTTGAAAGAAATTTTAATCAATCAGGATTTGACTCAGAAGCTACAACTCGTGCAAAATGTCATACAAGTTATGAACGATGTTCAAACATTAAAGAATGATGTTCAGCGTCTGGAAACAGAAAATTCCTATTTCAAGCAAGAATTTGGAAATAAAACAAATAGTAAGTAATCACACCATTTTAAAATGGAGAGAAAAGCTTTTTTTTTTTCAAATGTAGGAAGAAAATCATATATATATATATATATATATATATATATATATATATATATATATATATATATATATATATATATATATATATATATATATATATATATATATATATATATATATATATATATATATATATATATATATATATATATATATATATATATATATATATATATATTCAAATATAGGGTGGGATTTTTTTTTAAAATTTTAGTTATACAAGTGGCGAGTGATGTTCAAACATTAGAGAAAGATGTGCAAAGTCTCAAGACAGAATATTCCTATATCAAACGAGAATTTGGAAATCACTTGGTCAGCACAAGAAATGAAAGTACGTATATCTGTTTTTTTTTTTTAGTATGTCAGTAGAGAAAAAACGTATATTTAAAGAAAAAAATGTTATTTTTATTTTGTTTTTGTGTTGGTAAAATTGATCATAGCATACTTTTATTATCAGTCTACATTGAAAAGCATTTGAACATGAGGGTTTTATTTTGGATTCTATAATTGAAGTCTATTTTTTTTCTGAATTATTATTCTAGACACAGGGGTAAAATAAAAAATTGAATTGAAAATACATTATTTTTCGTACCTAATTCTGTAAAGGCATTAAAAGTGTATTAATTGCAAAGTATGACGAATTAAAGATATCTGAAAGATATGTGGCAACGCACTGTATTATTTAGAGAACGAGACAGGTACTGTATCGTAGATACAAATTTGGGGGTGGACGAGTGCGTAGCACGAGTCTCCACCCCAAATTTGTATCTATACAGAACCTGTCGAGTTCTCTAAATGATTTGTGACACGATCAACCAAAAAAAAAAAAAAAAAAAAAAAAAAAAAGCACCGTCCACTTCATACCTGTGCAGCATCCGAATTTCCGCCAGAGTTCGTTTGTTCTCTCTGTAGATGAGGCCTCGACGGGGAGTATACATCCGGAGTATATATATTTCCACGGACAACGTAAGATTTAGTCAGATTAGTTTTGACAGCGGGGTAGACGTAACAGACTCGAAGTCAGTTTTAATTGATAAGGTGGACGATTTAACCTTGTTGTAGATGGAGATTGATCCTAATTTTTTTCAGGGGTCTTAAAATCTCAGTTAACTATAGATACACATACAGGCGTTACAGACAGTTTTTCGATGACTTTGATGTTACGGATTTTTATTTTCTTATTGAAATGCGACATAAAAAACGAAGTGAAAGTGATGTGCGGCAGTCGTCAGCGATAAGGATTTAAGATGAAATTAAAAAAAACCCCTGAAAAATGGACTTGATTGAGTTTGCACGAGAAGAGTGGAAAATGGGGGGAGGGGGAGTGCGAATTTCACGTAATGTATGCTGCATCCGCGAACCCATTGGCTTTACTATTTTGAAGGCGACACAAAAAGCAGGGAAAGCAAACAGGTTTTCAGGAATTTATCCTACATAGGATGTTTTCCATATTTGCGAATTTTCCTTTTCGTTCGGTCAAAATAACCTGTAGATTCTGTGTGGAATAATTTTTTAAAAGTGATTGAGAAATTTTGACATTTTACATTCCTAAGAAAATATTTCTTCAAAGTTTATAATAGGGAAAAAATCAGCATTTACTATTTGTACGTGCTTTTGCTAAATTGAATCAGATTGATGTTTAGACCGTGCTGTATTTTAGATACAGAACAGTTGGCTAATACAAGACAGTATACAGGGCTAATACGGAACGGAAAGTAACTCCGCCAACTGTTGTCTCGTTCTGTATTGCTAATACAGAACAGCAAACTTCAAAGAAAAACACCGCAGTCGTGTCACAATGAAAAAAAAAGTGCGTTAAAATTGGGACAAAATCAACGCACTTTGAAAAAAAAATTCAAAGTGCGTTAAGAGTGTACATCAGCATTTTCTACCATTGAGACACTTAATGCACTGTGAAAAAATATGTATTCAATAAAATTTCTGGACTTAGATTGTAGTAATAAACAGCATTATTTTGTTATATTTCTTTCGAAAATGATGAATTAAGTCAACCATTGTTATATTATATGTTCACAATAGATAGATACAGTGTATATACATATGATATATTGAGAGAGAGAGAGAGAGAGAGAGAGAGAGAGAGAGAGAGAATTTTAACTGTATGAAAAAATCATAATTGCTTCCATTTGCATAAGGAAAATGTGATGGTTTAAGTCACTTATCGACCCCTACATCTACTTGATAAAATAAAAAAGAAACGAAATTGTACAATGATTCCTCCATTTATTTTTAAAGACCAATATTCCTTTTAAAACATTAATGAGGACCTTTAATTTAGGAACAAGAAAATCCCTAAAAATCTTTAAAACGCTGTAAAATCTTTAAAACGTCTATATCCTCATGGCGTGTAAAACGTATCATTATTATACTTTGTTGTTATTCTTATTCAAAGAATTTATTATTCTTATTCTAAAACATATCATTTCTATTCGATAAAATGTGATTCCTATTCGATAAATTGTTATTCCTATTCCAAAACAATGTGATTTCTATTCGATCCTGAAGTAGCGTCATGACCGAAAAGTTATCCAACCAGATTGAAATAATTATTTATCATACTTAAATTTGCAAGCAAATTGACCAAGCCGTGCATTTTTTTTTTCAAAGCGCGTTAATTTGGTCCCAAATTTAACTTTGAAATTTTTTTCAAAGTGCGTAATTTTTCAAAGTGCGTTGATACAAAGCTTTTATCTACATCGTGCATAACATAAAAACTTGATTTCATATGGAGTAATGTTTTGGTTTACAATTTTTTAAAATAAATTTAATTCAAATTGTCAGTTTCGCAATTACTGCCAAATCTGTTTTTAGAATAAAACAAATGTAAACCAAAGCGATGAAATGGTGAAATTTGGAACTGTATTATACCTGAGAACACGTGTATACTACAGGGACCTTAATATGGTCAACTCAGTCTCTCATGTGACGTCTAGCTTTCTATAATGCTCTATTGACGTGCAGTGTCTATCTTCAGTTAATTTTTCACATTCTGAATATGTCTTCTTCTCTAAAACCATTGGGCCAGTTCAACTATACTTTCAAAAGCCATCCTTGGATATTGGAATTCAAGTTTAAATGAAAAAAGGGGATATGATTAAAAAATTGTAAAAGTAAATGTTTTTTATTAATGACTCGTTTATATAGCTGCGTCAGCTCTCTTGTACGGAGAATTAATAGGTTCATGTCGTAGTTTAGCATGCTTTAAAGTAAAAATATATAATAACCATTTAAAAATAACTGTATATTAAATATTTTATTTTTTATTTCAGGTTGCACACGGACATTGGAATGTCTGGATCAGAAAACACACATTGCGTTTTATGCTTACTATTCTAACAATTTTAAGGCTCCAACCACCATTGGGGCAACTTTAATCTTTGATTCAGTAGTCACAAACCTTGGCAATGGATACAATAAAAGAACTGGAATATTTACTACTCCACTTTCTGGTGTCTATGCCTTTACTTGGACCTTGCACGCAGCAGGATCGAACGTCGCTCGATCATCTGGCAATCAATATGGAGAGATGAATGCGTCCATAAAACAAAACGGAGTAACAAGAGGCGCGATTCATGTTGATACTGAAAGGAAGAATGATGACGCTGTTGCTACCGGGTTTGTTCTTTTGAGTCTCAAAGCTGGAGACGAAATACAGATTGTATCTGATATCTTTAACGGTCAGGGATCTATGTACAGTAACGATGAACATGGACGAACTTCTTTTTCTGGATTTCAAATTGCATGATTCTTTTTTGTTTTTGTTGTCGCTTGGCAACATATATTCAAAGGAAGTAAAAAAAAATGAATATTGTTTTTCATTTTGTCAGAAAGAGTTGATTTCAGTCTCCGATTGATTAGTTTCAAATTCTTTGAAAAAGTTTCCAAATTTGATTGTAGAAAGTACGAAGACATTTACAATAAAAGAAGCAGAATGACGTTGGCGTGAATATTCAACATGCATAGAAAAGATTGTTTACTTCTCAATATATATATGGTACATAGTAAATAGTCAGTAAATGGAGCAACATCTTTTTTAAGGTTTGCAGTTGCTTTCACAAAGAAGAAATATTTCTAGATACTTAGATTTAAGGATTAAGGGTCAAAGACGATATGTAATCCGTCATCATTTAGGAAAAAAAAAACGAAATTCAATTCAATATGTGTGTTTATTAAAATGACTCGTTTATATATCAACTTTCTTAACCGGAAAGCTTGGCATTATAAGAAGACAGTCGAAATTGTTTATGTTTCTAATATCTGCGTCAACGCTCTTGTACTCGTAATTTTTTACTACATGGCAAGAAAAATATGTCCGTTTTAGCTTTTGGGTGAACTCATTACAAATGCACTTAACGCTAACCACTGAAATTTCTCTGAGAATGTTTCGAAACGACTGATTGCAATAGCTTGAGAGGTGTATCAAAAGTTCTTCAGCTTTCCTTGTTGAAGTATTTAATTCTAAACGTTATGAAATATTATTTCAAGTTTTCATTTCCATTTCTTAAAATGCATGTTTGGAATATAATTTATGCTAGCTGTATTTAACTCAATCCCCACAAATGCTTATTTTAATTTTACCTAAATATATAAGTTCTACATACAAAAAATTCAAACAAAGGAGGGGGGGGGGTGCACTCCCGGCGCGTTGACGCTGGATCCGCTTTGTTTAACAGATTTAAGTTCATCTTAATTTTTTTCCCCATAAAATATAGACATAAATAAAGTTTTTATTATACTTGAATGTGCATAGGGTACAGTTTTTCGGCGCACGATAAAAAAAAAAATCAGGGCTTCACTAGAGAACACACAAGTATTATTTCGAAATAAAAGTATTAAAAATAGATATGCTGGGGTAAAAATTATCATATTGTAAATCCACTATCTATTTTGTCATTATTTGGAAAGTTTCACGACATTTGCTTGATTTTTGGCAGTTTCCCGAGCATTTGAAATGGATGGTAAACAAAACACATGAAAAAGTGGCAACGTTTGATGACGTAACGGCTCACCGGAGAGAAGTTCAGTTTGATTTAGATGTTCTGATTTAGACATTTCTTGACGACGGACATAATATGACGGCGGACAAAACGTTACTCAGCAGTTCTATTGACGCCCTGAGAGACTTTAAATGACTACAGAAGAATAAAATTTTTAAAATATCACTAGATCTTTAGCATACAAGTGAAATGGGAGTTTTCTAAGTGGAAGCTTTTTTGATCGAGTCCTCGGGTAGAATAAAACATACGGACAAACTGCTACTAGCAATAGGGAAAGTCACTGTAGACCGTCGGTACAAGATTGCCTATTAAGTTGAATGATAGTGAGAGTACTGTAGATCATATATACGGTACAAATTTTGATGCATCAGATGCGTATTTCAACAAATTATGTCTCTTCAGTGATGCTCAAGCCGAAACGTTGGAAATCCAAAATATAAATAAAAAAGAAATTCCCGAATTTAAGTGGGCTTTATCCAACTTTTTTTAGCGAAGAGGAAACGTAACGCTGCTTTAGACACTTTGGCGTTATCATCCGTGCGCCTTAAGGCGATACCACACATAACATAAAATCTCATATTTTATTTATTTGAGCATAAATCTATCTGAAATTTGCTATGTATATTAATGAAAAACGTACTAAAACGTAATGAAAATCTTAGAATGCAGTGATGATTATTTTTCACTCTAGACAACTTGTCTACGATTTTACCGGGCAACCCTCGTAGATACTCTCATTTTAATCCTCAGGTAAAATTTCATAATTAAATAATTTACTTAACGTTTACAATAATACACTTCACACACAGAAGACTGTTTTTGCTTGTCAAAAAAAAAAAAAAAAAAAAAAAAAAAAAATCTGAACAGCTACCTCTCCCCCTCCCCCCGTTCTGAAATTTCTGGATCCACCACTGAGAACAGCAGTAGGCCAGTGATAATATATATGTTTATATGGTAGCATCCTCAGGTAGTGTAAATTCAAGTATCTTCAAATCATGACGTCCAGGCCTATTTTAGAGTATTGTAGATATTTAGTTATGGTGGTTATTTATGATGGATATAAATATGTTTTATAGAAAATTCTTTGCCCTTTCACAAAGTGTATTGTTTTTTCAATGGATTCAAAAAGTGTTCACAATAGCAACGAATATTCTAAAAAAATCTGCTGCGAAAAGGATTCCTACAGCTGGTTGAAATTTTGACGTCCATATTGAATATGCTATACTACACCAAATTTCACTTATTATAAGGTATAAATCGTTTACACCGGGTGTACTATGGTGTAGACAAATCAAGCGCGCCCTGTATGTACAGGACGACAAATGCACCGTCACGATGACGCTGCATGAAATAGCCTACGAGACACGTTAGTGTGATTTACACACCAATTACATTCACAAAACTATCCCCCCTCCCCCCCAAAAAATCTTTAAGCAACAATATCTGTTGGGCGACAATATCTGCAGTGAGGGTAAGGCACATAATGTTGCCAGCGACAATATGTACATGTGTAACTTTTCAGCCGGCGACAGTATGTCCGATGAACGACAATATGTGCAGTGATTGTAGGTACATATTGTCGCCAACTACATAATGTACTGTCACACTTGCTATAATTGCAATATCCTACTCTCGAAATGTATTTGTGAAAAGAAAATATTCATGCACACTATTAATTAAGATGTTTGACTACGGGTACTCGTAGTCAAGAAATATTAGAAATTTTATATGTATCGGAAAGTAGAAGATGGAATTTTAAGACTTTCTTTTAATTATCATTACATTTTGATTTTGTAAAATCGTCACGACTAAAAACACAGTGTTAATCACATCAGAACAATCCTGTCTTCACTGTAAAATTGCTATAAAATCACATATTTTCGTGGTGTTAACTTTTCTTGGTTTGAGGAAAAGATATAGGTTTCTGGGGATTTGATTTCGTGGCTGTAGAAGTGTTGATTTATTTTGCAATAAAATTTTACATTTCCTGGAGGACATGCATTCATGGGCCTTTTAACACCAAAAACGAATTAAAATTAATTACTTCACACATGAAAGTAAGTGATTTCACAGTACCTATACTTGTTTACTCGTTCTCAATATGTAGAATCGTTCCGACAGTTTTTGGCTAAAGGAGATTCAAAAGTCAAATACCTTAAATTTTAATTTCAAACCATTTTTTCATAAAATAAAATGAATTCTTTACTGAAATGTTCTAAATCATATTTTTTTAATGAAAGAATCAATAATTAAAAATAGTACACAAAATTGTTGAATGTTTCACGAAAAAGTAATATAAAAACAAGGGGTATTTGAACAGCTCTTATAATTGTTTGAATAAATGTCAACCATTTAATGAAAAATATTTACATTTATTTATAATAAGAAACATCATAAGAATAATCTGCATAGCAAATAAATGCTGTGACAATACAAGCATATTTTTATAATCTTTCAATATTTTAAACAACATTGACGCTTAATTTATCAAACAATTTTCAGAACTATTTAAAAAATCCTATAATTTTTTTTAATTACTTTATACAATTTTGTTTTACAATAGTTAAGTCAATATCTTCTGAATGAAAGTCTTTTTTAGTAATATACACTGAGATATGAATTGTACAGAATAATGAAAAACGAACCTGCGTTCATAAAATGTTGACATTTGGATATTGTTTAGTAAAATCACTAATAATTGACAAAGGTCCAGAACATTTTGAAGGCAATGGATTAGGGTAAAATAGGACGTGTAGCTTATTAAGCAAATGCATATGTGCGTAAATCTCAACTTCTCCAGTAGAAGCATTTGATAAATGTGTCGTCACAATGACTCATGAAATTGAAGGGGGGAAAACCTCTACATTTTCCCGAAATTAATTTATTACTGCCAAATGTATTTGAATGCCTAATATGGACAATGTAAAAAGGAGTACCAGATCAACTGCAAAGTCTAAGTCATCTCACTGGGAACCAGTATTCCGTTCCTCCTTTTGTCTGTTGACAATTTCATTGTCCAGTATATTGCAAGCAAACAGAAAGGGTGACAATAGACAACTTTGAGGGATTAAAGTTTTAACTTCAAATGCTTCTGTCAGTTGTAAACCCTTTTTGAACATGCATGCAAGGTAAGAATGGCGGATAATATTTACAATTTTACTGAGTACTCCAAAATGCCACAGAAGTAACCATATTATCTCTCAGTCAACATTGTCAAAGGCTTTCTCGTAGTCTATATAAAACTTACGTAAGGGGAGGAGTTCCAGTCAGTACATGGTTCAATTATAATGCGCAGAGTTGCTTTCTGGTTCGTACAAGATCTATTTTACAAAAACCAGTCTGTTGGTCATGTAGCTTGTCATCGTCTTCTTTTTCACTCTGGTCAGTATTATCCGACTGGATACCTTCCCTGGAACATTTATTTATTTTATTCCTCTATAGTTGGCCGATTACTAAGGTCCAAATGCAGGAGAAAATGACCACAAGCAGCAAAAACATCATTATTAGGATTAATATTCAACAAAGCCTAGACAAAGATACAAAAAGCAAACACAACTTCATATGCTACTTTACATATAGAAGGCGAATTGAAGAACTTTAACTTTTTACATAAGTTGGAAGTATAGTGGATAGGCAAGAAGGAACAGAGAAAAATAAAAAGGCCAGAGCATCATCCAAGTAACTCAGAAACTTCTAGAAGGCCAAGGAAATTACAATGCACACCAAAGTATGACTGTTCAAAAGCAATGTTAAGGCGGTGCTTTTGTACGAGTCAGAACATGCATGGAGATCATCTGTTACAACAATATATAGGATTCATCAATACATTCTGAGACATATCTTTCGGATCAGAGGACCACCAACATCGAAACGTGGCAGAGAACAAACCAAGCCCGATATGAACAGAAAAAATTGAAGAGAAGGTACAGGTGGATACGTCATGCTCTACGCAAGATACATAGCTACATTACAAGGTATACCTTGTTCTGGAACCCCAGAGGAAAACTCAACATGGGTAGGCCAAAAACTCCATGCGGAGAGACCCGGGGGCCGAACCAACAAATTAGGATAAAGTTAGGAAAAACTTACATTGAACTGGAAAGTATTGCTCAGGATTAAGGAACTTAGAGAAATCTTTCGGGCGGCCATGCACAGATTCATTCTTTCAGTTTTTTGTATGAGAAAATATATTCATCTTTTCAACATGAAATTTATATAGCGATAACAGCTTTAATTTTCTAAGAACAAATGTCTCTCAGCTCTGTTTATCAATACATTATGTTTATACAAAACTCATCTGAAGACCATAACAGTCTACATCATTTCATTGTTCCCATCTCTATTCCCTTATGACTAGTTATACCCCGCTCAACACAGCATTGAGTGATAATTTGTACGCCGCCATTTTTGACAATATCCAAATAGGTGTTTGTTTACATAACGTCATGTTTTTGTTAATTAATAAGGAGGTTAAGCAGATGACCGTGTACGTCTACGTGTACGTGTAGCTAGGGAAATCCCGTATTTAACTGCGATTTACGTCATCAGTTTTGTATAGCGCGTAATTCTACAAGTTGTACACAACGTGTAGATTCTTATGTACACGTAGGAAAGAACGTGTAGCTTCTTAAACACAAATTATAGAATATATGTTTTACAGACTGTGTTTGTTGTGATGTTGAGAGTTTATTACGTACATCTATGTATCTTTTTTAATGAAAGTCATGAATTATTTGATACGAATGGATTGTAAAGTGACTTGTTGAAATGACGTTTTACACGTACCGCTACAAGTACAGATTGTTAAACAGAACACGATGTTAGTTATGTGTACTTGTAAAAACACTTCAAGGTTTACACGTACACGTAGATGCACAAGGTTAAATGCTTAACCTCTCCATTGTGTCAAAATAATAAAATTTACAATTGAGTGCTCTAGATCAAAGAGTTCCAATGGATGTAAATTTTGTCACATTATATTTCCGTATAGCCTTGTAGTAAAGAAAGCATCGCTGGCAATGCTATTTTTGAAAGTAATGAAAATCTGAATGCATAAGACATAACTACCTTATACTATTTTGGCAGAATATCAAAAATGTCATTCCCAACTCTTGGCAAAAGATGAATAATTTTTGTCTGACAGTTTATCAAGTATTTAAAAAGTTCGCCTTTTTCTGGGACGACCCTCGTATATATTTTCTCGAGAACAAATATTCTTCTCGTAACAAGAACCTTAATTCTCTTCTCTTTCTACTGTTTAAAGAATTAAAATTGATCGCTTTTTTAACTATTTAACTCCCAAGGTCATGATTTGAACGACCTCGAATCTAGACTAACTGAAAATACTTCAATGTTTCTTTGACTAATCATGGCTTTAGATGTTTTTAATAATTTTTTCCGATGCATTTCTATATAAAAGTTTAATCTGTCGTGGCCCCACTCTACGCCAGGGGCTCATGATTTGAACCAAACTGAATCTACACTACCTGAGGATGCTTCCGTATTAATATGACTAATCATGGCTTTGCTATTCTTTCAAGATAGTTCACATATATTCCCATGTATAACTTTAATCCCCTGTTGTGGCCCCACCCTACCCCAGGGGTCATGTTTTGAACAAACTTAAATCTTCACTACCTGAGGATGATTCTGTATAAGTATGACTAATCCTGGCTTTGCTGTTCTTGAGAAAAAGAATTTTAACAATATTTCTACTATATTTCTTTGTCTCCTGTTGTGGCCTAATACTACCCCGAGGGTCAAGATTTGAACAAACTTGAATCTTGAAGCTTTCACAAAAGTTTTATCTTTTCCGTTTCAGTGGTTCTTGAAAAGAAGATTTTCAAAATATGTTATTAAATTTTCGCTAATTCTTTATAATATCCCTTTGAAAGAAGGCGTGGTTCTTCATTTGAACAAACATAAATCCACTTTACCCAAAAATGCTTTGTGGCAAGTTGGTTGAAATTGGCCCAGAGGTTCTTGAGAAGTCGAATATGGAAAAGATTTACAGACGACACACGATATACACCTTCGATCAGAAAAGCTCACTTGAGCCTTTGGCTCAGTTGAGCTTAAACCTTTAATTCATACTTAGTTAATATGATACTTTCTCAACCTACACTGTAATTGTCATTATACTTTTTCTCTGGTATTTTTACATACTTTTTTCTTCATACAATATCAATCCTTCAGAAATTAGGTTCTAGTTCACATACCTGTATATGATTGTCCAATATCCATTAAATGTCGAGTAACTGTGTCAATTCGTATATTGGAGAATAATGTGATAGTCTTTTATTACATGCAAAAGCTATATTGAATTACTTTCAGTTTAAAAAATAAATCTTTTAAAATACTTTTATTACTTACATAAGCTCCATTAAAATTAAGATTGACAATAAAAGTATTTATCAAATTTCTGGTTGAAAAAATTCATCCTCTTGTCATCATCATAGATGTATACTCCAGCAAGTTGTAATAATTAATACTCCCCTTCCACACCCAATATCTGCTGTTGAAGGGGCCATTTAAGTAAACATATTCACATCCATGGAACCACCATCCCCCTGCCAAACGTGTGGCACAGTGAGAGGTGTCAGGTCTGTCCGGAGTGGCAAAAGGTTGACCATTAAGAATATAACTTCCACTAGTGACATAGTCATCTGAAATAATTTGTTGTTTATTTGGATGAATCATTGATGGTATAAAGCATCAATAAAACAATACAATTATTTTCCAAAGAATTAATTAGTTTACAAAATAATTCTTACAGGTCATATTGCCAGAAAATTTCCCGGCTACATGCAAACGGTATTTGTCGGTTTCCGGTCCTATTGAAAACGATTCAAACCGTGCATGAAATGACCTCAGTGAGGTATCTTTTAATTGGATGTATAATTTGTTGGAACCAATCGTTGTCATCTGATGAATGACTTCGTTTCCTGTAATGGATTTGACTTGAAAGTTAAAAAAATATATTTATTTGTTTCTTCAGGGCAATGTTGTAAAACATCAGATTCATTGAATATTTCATTCTTTTAGCATCCTTTTCTAAAATATAAGATGAAAAAACTGGCATGCTAAAGACTTGGTTTTCCGTTTAAAAATTACATTGTTAAGTTAATATAAGCAATATGTATAACGATGTTGTAGACATTGCTTCAACAATAGCATCTTATTTACCAGTCTCGTATTGGGCTGTCAAAAAATCTTTTGGTTTTAAGTTCAAAAATCAAATTTCCAAGGTCGATTGTAAAAGGTGACGATAACAAAAAGTAATCAATTTTATGAATCCAATAAAGAAACGATTCGTGAACAAAGCAAGAAACACAAACATTTTGATACATCAGAGGTCAGATCAGGTGTCTAAGAGGAGTAAGCATCCCTTGTAGACAAGTCACATCCGCTGTGAGTCCTCTGTGTTGATAAGGAAAACGAAGTAATTTGTAGTCAAAATGTATAAAAAAAAAATGGCTAATGACTTGTAGAAAACATGTCTGTCAAAATACGACCAAAAGATATGTTGTGTTTGCAAACAAAATCATTACAACAACCATGGAATTTGCGGAAAGGTGACTTTAAACCTGGGGTGGAATGGCTGTGCGTCAGGAGGGGCAGTGGCCATAGACAGTGGTAGATGGAGGCAATGTATTGGGGCATTATGTGCCAGCGGGCACGTAAAGGTTATGTGTCGTGAGGTGAGGCGACTTTAAACAAGATAATTGAAAATACTGTAACATTAACATACTTGTCAGTAGCCTACTTTTGTTTGTAAATTGATGGTAATCGGTACATACTCTTGAGTATTGACTCAGTTGGGGGACAATTGACCATATTCAGGTGATTGTGGAATATTGTTACATAAATAGGAAACGTTGACATGTAAAAGCTAAAGTCATACCATTTATCGTGTAGTTTAGATGTTAGTAGGCAATTAAAGTCTACTGTCAGTAAAATATCTGAAGCAGATATTACAGACTCTGTGGTGTCCTTTATTTCAAGTTCCACTGGATATATCATGTTGACATATGAATGAAAATAACAACCGTTAATCGATAAAACGTTGTCAATGTATTGAATTGAAAGCCACAGTAATAGAAATTGAAAATTGATGTGGAAACTCATTGACCTTGCCAATATACTGTATACACCAAAACTAAGACTTCAGCCAATTTTTTCATCTAGAGGGAGTATGGATTAAACTTTTTGTGTAACGTTTGATAACAATATTTCATTGAGCAGTTGAGTAAAAATCGTTTTTGATACTGTATTACCTAACCAAAAATCTGTATATATGCTCCCAAATCCTTTTTTGTATTCAAGCCACGTTCTATTAAAAAGTACCGACTTGTCGATTCCTCGCCTTTGAAAAACCTTTTTAATGATAATAAAAAAAAAAAACAATCTTTAAAGTCAGCTGAACTAAATTTTGGCTAACGAAGAATGCATTTTTGTAACATTATCATAGAAAATGTTCAACAGTTTATATGAAGCTTTTATTGTGTTATTTGTTAACTTAATGATATTTAACATTATCACATTATCTTACTGTCCAGCCACCAGGCATCACATCCATCTCACAGTAAACCGATACAGATTGTTTAGTAGCACCCCAGGGATATACTGTGTAGACTCTGGATCTCGTGTTTCCTGAGGTGTACAAGTCGTAACAATCCATAGGGCCTGAAACAAAATGATAATACATACATGCATACAAACATTTAAATAAATAAATAAATAAATATATCTATCTATCTATCGATTGATCGATCGATCGATCGATCGATCGAGAGATTTAACCTTGCACCCCTTCTCTTAAATAGTGTTTTTTTTTTTAAAACTTTTTATTTACCCTGTTTGATGTACGTGTCAATATCAAGAAATAGCAAACAGATGAAACTTAATGTATGTTTATATTCCATCGGATGAACCTGCACCAATCAGTCAAGCAAATATAACTGATAAGTCTGGAAAGGTGACTGTATAACAGAGCCTTTCAGTAAAATTTTCGACAGTGCACCTTTCAGTTAATCGAATGACATTGTTTCATCCTATGCTCGAATTTTTCTTTAGTAAGAAAGCTGTATATTACTATGCGGCAAGTACAGAACTGGTTTTTTTTCCTAACATTAGTTATTCCCTTTTTCCTAACTGCTCACGATAGCCAAGTGGTAGCTTCGTGATCGAGAGGCCCGGCTTCGATTCTGTTCGCCACACCGCATCAAACCTAAGACATAAAAACATAGGTAGTGACTGATCCTTCGCCAAGCACCCGGCATGAAAAGTAAAAGTCACGGGTCTTTCAAATGAGACCTTAAAAACCGAGATCCTGTGTCACGGTAGGGGTTGGCTCGATAAAGAACCCTAACTGCTTAATGGCTCTGAGTGCCGAGAAAAGGTCTATATCTAAAGCCCTATACCGCTATTTGACGTCTCTATATGAGTGATAAAATCTCGAATAGGACGTAAAACAACAATCAATCAATCAATCAATCAATCCCTTTTTTCCTTAATAACACATTTATTTTCACAAAAATATTATCGTTTTGAATTTTCAGGAAACGTCGACAACAGTGATTAGGTGTATGAAGTGCATAATGCTCATAACTTCCTCTTAGTTGTAAATTGAAATATGTACGTACTGTTTTTAAACGCAACCTAGTATGAATTCCTGAATTACTCAAACGATGCCATCAACAACAAAACACATGGATAGCTATGAAGACTTTTTAACAGTGTGCCAAGTAATATATGTGCATAGTCATATTTCATATTGTTATATAAGAGGGAATACTTGGAGATGAAAACAAGAATGGCAAATAAAATGTGAAAGAGAAAAATTGTCCCACTGAAAAGAGCACTAAAAAGAAAAAGAAATATATTTATAAAATCACAATCACGGATTATATGCTATAGACAACCTTTATTATCGACAACAGTCATTCGCGATTCGCTAGCTTGAATCTCCGCCGCGACCAATAATTTTTGCAACTGAAAGACAAATAATAAGCTTGCATCAAGAAATATTTGCGATGAAGAAACATTCCAGATATCTTGTGTAATAATAAAGATATCTCCTTAATGACTTACGTCTTAAAGGCGTAGATGTCGGTTTTGTTGTTGTCCCTGTCGATGTAGAAGGCCTGGATGTTTGACTGTCAGGAAAATCTGTGAAAGGAATGTTTGAATGATTCAAAATTGCAAAGACAGAAAGAATATATTAAAGCGAATCTCATGATCAACAAAGTAATAGTCAATCACTTTATAAAACGGCTATATTAAAACAAAGGCTAGGCAAACATTTACAAGCTTATTTTGATCAATACATCGCACTAAGTCATACATCTTGCAATACATGTATAATAATCCGTGTTCTCTCGTTTAGACGTTCTGACTGTAACTGTGTTGTTACTTGAATACTACATGCCCCGCAGGATGCGGGTACAACTAATGAGTGTAAACATTAAAATCAACAACCCAAAACCACTAAAATCCGCTCCTGTTTTGTGAAGAAATGTCCCAATTCCGACCACCATCGAATGTCGTTTACAATAATACATAGACAATGATACATAAATAAAGATAATTTATCTCTGTGATGTACAAATAGTCATATAATTAAACTAAGCAAAAGTGAGAAGAAACTCATTTAAACACCCCCTACTAATGTGTTCGGAACCATTTATTTTCCGGTATTCTGCGACATATAATACCCAAGGAGTTCGCAGTAGCTCTGGCGAGATTTTGTGAGACTACAGCGAGACTGATAGAGATAGGTTATTATTCACGGAAATGTAGCTAGGAAGTGACTAGCATGGTAAACAGAAAAGTTATGTTACGTTTCAATTTTCACCGCTATATATAATATCAGTAGAAATGTACTTTAATCTCTATAGAATTCATTCAAACTTTAATAAGTATTCTTTACGACATTATTTTCTGCAGTTATGTATTAAAACTTCTTTTTAGAAGAACATGTTTGCCTAAGACCCATATTTTTTGCGTCAGATGAGACCAAATTTACATGCTAAACGAGTTGAATTGCATTATGGGTTACTACGTATACTACAGGAATTTTATACTTGGAAAAAATCAAATTCTACACGCGATAAGAAATGCACATTGAATTTTTTTCAGGCATTTCATAGATAAAAAATCCATTATTATATTTTATTTCCATGCTCAAATTTACAAACAATTCATTTGTAAGATAAACGTGGAAATCCAGGTTTCTCAACGCCATTCTATAAGACGATTTGCGTCTGTATTCTTTGTTGTACTATCGGTGCAAGAATACAAATGTCACTTGAATTCCATAGCCAAAGACAAAAGATACATTTGTTCACGTGTATTGTTATGTTTAAAAAAAACATTTGTTGGCCATTTAAAGAATTGCTGCTCGTTCTGCTTATCCTTAGAGCTCTGGTGTTTTTTGCAACACATTCTGAACGTGGCACGGACTACCTTTTATTAATATATTATGTCATAACAACAAATTACAAAAGCCCATGAAATCTTTCTTAGTTTCTATTCTATGCATTTTTTTTTTGAATAAAAACAATTTTTTCACATTTTTTTGCAGTCCATTTAATATCACATCATAGTTTGACCTGAACTACGTGTTCGAAGTAAAATATAAACATGTAGTTGGCCAGTACACTCCTATTTATATGTTCGAAACATTTTATTTTTCGGTGTTCTGCAAATTATAAAATCCGAGGAGATCCCAGTAGCTCTTGCAGTAGCTCTGGCGAGATCTAGCGAGACGAGATAAGGTAAATTATTCACGGAAATGTAGCTAGGAAGTTACAAACACGAGGATACATGGTAAACAGAAAAGTTATCTTGCGTTTCATTTTTCACCACTGAATAATATATGTAGAAATATACTTCAATATCTCTCGAATCCATACAAACGTCAATAAGTAGTCTTCATAACATTTTTTTCTGCAAATATGTATTAAAATTTCTGTTTTGGACAAACATACTTGCATGGGAACGGGGACTATATTTTTTGGCGTTAGATTAGCAAAGGGGGTACCAATATAGCTTAATCTGAATGAGTTGAATTGCATTGTGGGTTACTACGGATATTATAAGAATTTCACGCTTGAAAAAAAAAACAAAACAAAGTGATCGGAAAGGCACATAGAACATTTTTTCGATGCATTTCCATGCTGTCCATTTTTATTCTATTATTTCCATGCTCACAATTGCAAACAATTCATTTGCATTATGTTAAATAAACGTGCAAATCTAGGTTGCTCAAAGTCATACTGTAAGGCGATTTCCGTCTGCATTCCTTTGTTGTACTATCAGTGAATATACAGCGCTATGCCAAAAGTATTCGCGATTTTTCAAAATGGCGGACGTAAACACGACGCGCTTCGTAAAAAAAATAATAAATTGTGAAACAATTAACAGACTTACCTTTATTAATACTTGGTGAGATGGCCCTTAGACTTGATTACAGCTAATAGTCGACGGGGAATGGATTCGTACAGAGATTTGATATAGTTTTCATCGAAGGAATTCCAGATGTGTAAAATCGTATCGAACAATTCTTCAGGAGTCTTAATATTTGGAGCTAGATTTTGCAGATTTCTTTTGATTTTTAGCCATAAATTCTCTATAATATTAATGTCCGGTGATTGTGCTGGCCATACAATTGTAGGAATATTATTTTGTTGTTTGTAATCTTGAGTAATCCGAGCTCTATGGACGGGGGCATTGTCGTCTTGAAAACGATAGGTTTTCTTGAGGAAATGTCGGACAATGACAGGCCAAAGTTGATCTTCTAAAATGGATATGTATTTGACTGCATTAATATTTCCACTAATCATGCAAAGTGTACCTACCCCGTGGTAGGTGATGCATCCCCACACCTTAACCGAAAGCCTTCTCTGCCGAGGGGGGCACATGCACTGCGGCAAGTAGGACTCTTTAGATGTTCTCCACACATACACTCTATGATTTTCTCCTAAAACTATCTGACTTTCATCGGAAAATATGATAGTGTTCCAATAATTATTTATTGTGAGTTTTCTTTTCTCTAAACACCAGGCAACACGCCTTTTTCTGTTGATTTCGGAAACGACCATTTTTTTTCTAACAACTCGTCGCTTAAATTCGTGATCACGCAAAAATCTTTGGACTGTCCGTGGGTGAACAGAGTCATTAGCATCCCTGCTTTCATTAAATTCGTTAGTAATGTCCCTTAAAACCCGTCCTCTGTTAGTTTTAGTATGTCTTATTATCCAGTTTTGATCCCTTTTTGACAGCTTCCGAGGGCGTCCTTTTCTTTTCAAGGTTCTGACTTCACCAGTCAACAAATATTTTTTCCAAATAGATCTGATGGTTGATTCAGGTATTTGTAATAAATTCACTATTACCGATGTTTTTTGCCCCTCCAGTTTCATGTCCACAATTATTTTTTTGACATCATTTGATATTTCTGTCGATTTCCTACCCATCGTAATCCCCGTTTGTTTACATGAAATTCCAGACAGCAGACGATAAAAAAAAATAGATATAACATCACTTCCGATGTGAAGACAACTCTGTAAAAATTTGGGATGTCAACACGGCATTTAATTAGAGTTATTGCCCATTCCCCGAGCGAAGCGAACAGCGAGAACGACGCCATTGCGTAAAAATCGCGAATACTTTTATCATAGCGCTGTAATTGTCAGGTGGATTCCCTGACCAAAAAGCACAGATGATCACGGGTATTGTAATATAAAAAAAAACCTTGTTGTCCATTTAACGGTTTAAATGCCTAAGGCTTGAAGCGCTAGTGTTCTGAACGTCGCACAGACTACATTTTATTATATGCATTTTCTAGTAAACAACATAACAACAAATTACAAACGCCCGTGGCATCTTTCATAGTTTCTACTCTTTGTATTTTTTCATATAAACAGTTTTTTACAAAAAATTAATTTTTTTTCCAATCCATCTAATATTGATCGTAGATTGAGTTGAACCACGTGTTTGAAGTAAAATGTAAACAAATAGGTGTCAAGTTAACTTTGCTATTCATTCAATGATTGGACAAATGTTGGTGGGAAGATCCTCTGTGCGAATTAATAACAAAAGCCATATAAGGTAAACAAAGGCTTTTTCTACGAGCGTATCGGGCGATTTTCGAAAAATTAACAATACTGAACTCCAATTTTCGCCGTAAATTATCACAAAAGCGAAGATTAATTAAGTAGATTGTGATTTTTTTTATATCCCACCCATTTCTGTTTAAAATCTTGAAAATCTATCAGACAGTTTTTAAAAGAAACAGATTTCCTGTTAACTGCCAATTTTATTTATAAAACCGGATCTACCCTATAACCTTTGAATGGGTCAATCTACACCATGTGCCTTGAATTTAAATCACAATAAAATTAGTAGGGTGCAGTATACTTTTTTTTATTTATTCAATGATTGGACAATTGGTCGTGGTAAGATCCGCTGTGCGCAATGACAAAAGCCACATAAGGTAAACGGAGTTTTGTCATCGTTGTTGATATTATAAAGCTGTTACACATTTTTTTCTGCCAGCATACTGGACAACTTTGGAAAAATAATAGCTACTGAGCTCCAACATGCACCTTAAATTATCACAAAAGCGAAGTTTAAGTAGATTGTTATTTTACCCCCCCCCCTCCTTTTTAGAACCAAGAAAATCTTTCAGAAAGGTCTGGAAACACATTTTTCATGGTACTTATATTTAAAAGAAACAGACTATAGCAATTTCCTGATTACTGCCAATTTTATCTATAAAACCATTTCTACCCTATGAACTTTGAATGGGCCAACGTACACCACGTGTCTTGAATCTAAATCACAATAACATTAGTAAGGGTGAAACAGTTCATATGGTTATTTATCGCGCAAAAGTTTCGGACGGTCGCAAGGCACGTCACACTGCATCGTCCATCCTGGAATGTGGTTACGGCTCAGGTCCATTGTCGCTCAGAGATTCGAACAATCATCCTTCTTCAAAGGTATCCACGTACAGCAGTCATGATCATGTCTCCCCTCAATATGTGGAGACTTTTGCAATTAAGACTCCCCCGATGTTTAAGCACGAGGTAAGTAACACCCTAGTCACGAATTCAAACAACAATAATGAATCCTAAGTTTCTGAAACTCAACTGATTACCTTAACCCAG